AAAGGGAGATAGGGGTCCCAAAGAACAAAATTCAAAAGATGTGTGAGAGAGACATGGATCAAGACAGGAAGGGCAGGGGGCCGACAGAGACTGCTCATGCATAGGGCCCAAAATTTGATGCAACGTCCCTGATTACAACGCTCCAGCTTTGAGCAGTAAACAGCTGAAACCAACTACTCCACAAGTTTCACTTGATAAGGCTGTTTCACACAGAGAAATGTCAAGACTACTAAATTTGGCCATAAACAACATTGAGAACCAAGAATTTACCCAATTAAATCAAACACCAATGCTTTTCTCATTATAGGCCATATTCATTTATGACAACAGTTGTTTTTGAACAAAAATAACCTCACACAATACATTAAAACCTAAAATTACATCAAGCAGGCTAAAATAATCACTTAGTTCATTTTAGTAGAAACTTTGAATCAGAAATTTTACTTAATCATGATTAGCCTACTGAAAGAAAAAAGTAAACATTTGTTTGCAAAGTCAATCAACAAAATGTCGGAAACATGGACATTAAAATGGAGGATTCAATATGGAGCAGAGAGGACAAAAATGAATTTGCCAATATAGTATCTATTAACAGCAAGTCCAACTTCTGACAGTTCTTCTAACTACACCACTATCTTTGATTTAAAGCTAACTGAATACAACACAGGATTGTTACACACATGCACAGGGAGGTGGAGGAGATGGTGACATTATGGGTTTTACAAGCAGCGTATACTACATCCATTATTCAACACCATGGACAGCAACAGTTTACACTAGCACCAGAGGAGGACAGTGCTAATTGTAGACCATAAGGCTTTAGCGTTAGCTTACAGTTAACTTACTCACCAGAAACTTGAAGAGAGGAGGGTCTGTGGTGAACAGTCATGAGGATAATATCCTTTCAGTCACTGTTGTTACTTTAAGTTTGGTTTCTGTTGAAATGACAGCTATAACAGTCACTGTGCATTTTCGGACCGTCTTCAGTTAGGTCCATCAATGTTCACTGAAACTGTTCGTTAAATCTATTAACGTTAACGGTTGAAATGGTTCTGAGCTCGACTAGGTCTGTTCTTCTGCCTTTTGTATAAACACACAAAGTAAGTTTTAGACATACTTGCTTCGGTTTGTTTGGTGCAAAAAGCATCCGCATAGTGGCAGGAGTCCCAACAGACGGCGGAAGACCCAGTATTTGGGTATGGATGTGTCGCAATGACACAACACAGGACCAATGTTAGCCGTTAGCCGTTGAGTTTTGGAGTTGTTAGCTTACCTGCCGCTATGCTAAATTACTTTACTTTCTACATTAGCCTCGTCTTCTGATATTTCCTCAGACGCTATACCATCCGTCCGTCCTACAACTTGTGTCAACTTTTAAAAGTTAAAAGGAACATTTTTTGGCGTTATTTCTCGCCTTAATTGGCCATCTTAATTTTTAAAAAACCATTAACGGTAACAGTTTGAACATTTTTATACAAGTTAGTTCCGGCCAAGCAATCTGATTGGACGAGAGGCATTCCACGAGTGTTGATGTACAGCATTGGGACTTTTAACTCTGTATGTATCACTCCGCTTACAGATGTTAAGCTAACCGTTAGCTACACTAAGGGTAGTGGTAACGAACTTTACACCAGAGGAACATAGTGCCACAAATATAATTGAGTTAAATAATGAATTGTGGTCAGAAAAGGCTGAGGGGACAGAAAGAAGCCTGGACACTTCACTGTTAATCTCCAGGTACACTTAGGCTATATGACATCAGAAGATGACACAACCTGTTAACTCATATGCATCACACATATGCCACAAAAGGGAACAACATGATAGTGTGCAGGAATCTTTAAGTGTTGCTTGGCAACAGTCAAGTCCCAGAGATGTGGAACCAGGGGCCTAAATGTTGGCAGTGCAGGCAGTGCAATTGCACTGGGGTCCCTGGGGTGGAAGGGCCCATAGAGAGAGGGGGCCTTTGCAAGTGATTCAGACTACCTCCATGGGAATATGCATTCAAAGATAAATGATTAAAAAAGAATTTTTTATAGCAGCTAAGCCTAAACTTAAAGCCACTGAGGGCTGTATAGACAGGGAACTTACTGATTGACAGTCTGGCCTGACTTAACCAACCGCTGCTCATCAGGTGAAACAAAGAGTCCACTTCTTCTTCTTTGATGCATAATTTATTTATCACCTCTGTAATCATCAATGAAGAACTTACAAATGAATTAATTAATGAATCTGTGTCCATAAACCATTAAAATGTATTCATTTTTACCATTAAATGAATCAAAAAAATGGGGATCGCACACCTCCAGAATGCTGAAAAGTTAATTTATTTTGTCAAAAAAGCTCAACACAGAGCGCTTTCGGCCGTCCGGCCTTCCTCAGTGTGTGAGTTCATGTTCACTGTGCCTCTGATTACAAGCCTGCAGTGCAGGTGTGTCTAATAACCAATCACTGGCATGCTGTCACTGAGTGCATCAGGTGTGTTTCACCGTTCATTAATCAGAACAGCTGCAGGTAGTTTATTGATGACAAAATAAATGAACTTTTCTGCATTCTGGAGGTGTACGATCCCCATTTTTTTTTTATTCATTTAAGGACTCTTTTTGGACAAAGCACCCAGAGGTTTGAGTGCAGTGGTCTTTCCCAAAATGTATTCATTTTTACCATTGCAATGAGCAGCATACACCTGATAGCATGTATCCACTTCCTGTCACATAAATTATGACCAGAGTGAACAAAATGACAACTCAGATACTCCACCTTGATGTTCTGACCCAGTAGCCTCCTACAAAAACATGAGATTTTAACATTTAACAATATTACTTAATTACATGTGTTAAAAGTAAGATAATTATTTTAATTTTCACATATTGTTTAAGTACCCATTTTCCACTTTAGTGGTTATTGTTTGTGGAGGCCCCACTTTACCCTTTGTGGCGCACACTGCCTCTGCACAGGATCCTCAAAAGGTTCATTTGTAGAGGGGCACATGTCTATTTTTTCTGCTAATGGACAGAGTGTGGGAAAGCTCTGGAGGGAAGACTTCAGTGTGAATGACATTCATTCCACCAGCAGCCAAGTCATTCCCCAAAGGGATTTGGCACACTTCAGGAAACAGCTGCCCCCCCAGGAAACCTCCCGCCCTCATGTGTAGAGCTGAAACTTTGATCCAGTTGATGGTCAGTTATGAAGTGTGATTATTACTGGAGGTTCACAATGTTTGATAATGACAGGAAACTGAAAATATGAAATGATTAATACTTTTGGTGATACTTTACAATAGATTTTTCTGCAAAATTTGAAATTTCTCAAACTGTCAGAGCCAGCCAATGGTATTCTTTCCCTCCAGATGGCTGATGATGTCAGACTGTGTTTCTATAACAACACACAGCCAGCATCTGTCACTGAAGTCCCTTTGTGGTTCATTGACCACACCATACAGGGAGTAAGTGTGGGAAACCGAGCTCAGCTTGTTCCTCACACCGACTACAAGGCACGTGTCAAAAGACTCGACTACACCTGGACAGCTGCATGATTATTGTGTTACTAAGTTTAATTCAAGTGCCATGAATGGGCATCACACTTCTAGGCTAATGTTTTACAAAATGGTGCCTTTTTGATTAAATAATATATTAGAAAAATGAATCAAATTAAAAATTAAATTAAATATCTAATTAAATCAACAAGTCAAGATACTGTAGAAAAATCCACCTGCTTCATTTTAGGTTGTAGCTCAATAAAAACAATTTAAAAAACAGACAAAACAAAACAAAATCACCTAGTTTGTATATTTATTTTCTATCATACATGTTATTCCTTCACATGTGTGATGTGATGATGAGCGTGTGCTCAGTCAGAGTCATTGATCCCAGCATCAGGCAGCAGATCTGCTCTCTCTACAGGGTCAACACTTTCCCAGATTCACACAGAGCTCTGTGAGTCTCTCTCCATCACCCCCCCAGTCCTCCACCTGTTCCCCTGAGATCTAACCATTGTCCCCCGGGGCGATAACAGCGTTAAGTGTGCTGCATCCTTTATTGTCTGACCAAGCTCTCTGATTGGTTGAGAGTGTGAGAAAGTCCAGTGAAACCAGGACCCGCACATTGATATGGAGATGTGGGACTATAAATAGGAGGGATGAAGCCAGCACAGATCAGATTCTCTCTACAGAGACCTCTACAGCACACAGATCCAGACATGGCACCTACAATCACTGCAGCAATGACCAATTCTCAGGAGCATCTCACTCTGACCCACAAGGTAAACTCAACATCCAACAACATTTAAATATTGTCAATGAGTGGTTGTTTTATTTCATGCAAACATTTACTCCAGAATAAGTTTATTAATGACTTTGTTCTTCTTCCTGCAGCTCAGAAAGCCTCTGGTGGAGAAGTTACGCAGAGAGCGAATCAACAGCAGCATTGAGCAGCTCAAGTCTCTCCTGGGTCCAGAGTTCCTCAAACAGCAGCCAGACTCCAAGCTGGAGAAAGCAGACATCCTGGAGATGACAGTTTGTGTCCTGACACAGCTGCAGCAGCAGCATCAACAGCAGAGAAGACTGCTGAACCACTTCAACAAGCTGCAGTCTTCCTCTGATAACAACCTGACAGAGGCTGACTTCTCTCCTCTGAGCTCCACAGTCCAGACCAGCATCACCAAACAACAGAGTCCAGTCAACAGCGCCCTCTGGAGGCCGTGGTAGACACCTACAGACTGGAGTTACTACCAGACAAACTCAGATGACCATACTGGTCAAAGATTACTGGAAATGAATTCTTCTGAATTCTGACATTTGATGAACTTGTTCTTCTGTTTTACAGAAGGTTTTATTTTGTGTGTTTTCCTGAGGAAATGACAACAACAATATCTTTCAAATTAAGAAAGAGAACTTCTTATCATGCATGTTGCATGAACCAAATCTGATTGCATCAGCAATTATTATGATTATATCTCACTGTACTTCATGTATTGGTTTTATACAGTGGTATGGTTGCATTTGTCATCTTTTGGTTGTTATTAATCATTCCGATTAGAAACTTAAACAGTCCTTTTTATGGACATATTGTCAGCAGTGACTTTAATCTGTGTGATTACTCAAAACTGATCTGTTGTAAGATCCAAGTGTTTATCCTTTTATTCTAAAAGGTTTGTTTAATGTCACACTGTCACAGTTTTCCAGTGACTGTCGTGTTTTCTTTGATGGACATTCATGTATTTAGCAGTTATAAACCTGCTTTTATCACACTGTGATGAAAACATTCTGATCTGTTTTAAGGTCAGTTTTTATCATTTGCTTTTGTTTATATAGAGCAAATTATTGTTTTTGTTTAAAAAAAAAGATGCTGTCTGTAGCTTCTTCTCAAACTTGTTTGTCTTTTATAAAGACAGTTGTTCCTTTACTCTCTCTGAGTACAGTGTGTCTTTGAGAACAGTTATTGTTGTGATGTATCATCATCTCTAATCAGAGCTTTGCATACTTGATGTGGCTCATTGAGCCATTCCAAATAAACAAATATGCCACTTACACTTTTTGTGTTCTCATGTTGTTTTGTCTTGCAACAATCTTTCTCAGCTATGCTCCCATTTCATGGTTTAAAAATAGAAGTTACATTAGAGTTACATTTTTCACATGGCACATATCTCACTGTTTGCGGTTACATATTGGTCCCATTACAAAACATTCCTTAATGATAACAGCTGCCAGCCCACCATCTACTTATATGATTAACTAAAACGTTTTTTTTTTTCACACTGCATCTTAGTTTTTAGTTTAGTTTTGTTTGACTATAATAACCTTGGTGTTGGGGTGTGCTTGTAGACCTCCATCAAAATACACCCACTAAAGTATGTTTTATGTTGGTGTGGCTCAGAGTTGATGGTATGTTTAGGCGGTACAGGTCATCTTAAAAAGTTTACTATTAGAAAAGTGCATTTGATTGACTGACAGAACCATAAGGTAAATAAATAAATACAATCTCAGCAGATTCTATGAAACTGAAGTCTTGTTGAATTGTGATGAATTGCGTGAGAGACAGTGATGTCTTTGCAGTTCCTGCCAGAATTCTCTTCACCTCAGATTATTAATTATCATTTAAAGCTGTTATTAGTAAGATTTTTGTTTTTCCAGGCATTTTTGCTAAATATAATCATTGATTGGCATCTTTTTTTTTTTTACCTTATCTTAAAGGAGGAGTGTGCAGGATTTAGTTGCAGATACAACTAAACTTCTTTAAGTATGAACTCCCAGTTAGGACTCTTCCAGTGTTCATTGTTCAGGAGGTTTTCACCGTGAGCCAAGTTATCCTCAGAAGTCTCTTCCTCTCCAAAACAAGGTGATTAAAACCTGTAAAAACACTGAATAAAGCAGTTTTAAGTTTCAAATCAGCGTGGCAGTGTTCAGCTGGTTGCAAACAGGCTGCATGCCAACACCTGCTAATATGTGCTGACCTTTACTCTCTAATAACTCAAGATGAAGTTACACAAAACACCTTAGGTTTTCTCCTTTAATTTGACACTTAAGACTCTTAGGCTGAGGGACTTACTTAAGGGTGTTGCACAGAATTCCCTGAGATGGTCTCCTTCGCTAAGTAAAAATGTTAAGGCATTTACTGCATTGAAAGATTTTACAGTGGTAAAACACTACAGTTTCCATGATAACCATTTATTTTTGCTTGCGATCAAACTTGTGATGCCTTAAGTCTTTTGTGCAATGGTTTAACTCAGTGGTTCCCAACTTTTAGATCGTGGTCCAAAAGTGGGTTGCGAGTTTATTCTGAATAGACCTCAAGTGACTTGCAAATGCGTCAAGTTTGTAAAAAACACACATTTTCTTTTTAAGTATGGTGAATTTCTGGCACAGAGCTCTTTTTTTTAAGTGCTGTTCCCTGCTGTAAAGTGAGTGACTAACAGACAGCTACTTGACAGAGACAGCAAGTTAACTCAACGATATGGCCAAGTACAAGTATGACGCTGAATATATTAAACTGTGTGGACCTTGAACTAATGTCTAAGAAGAAATCTGGACCCTGTGGTTTGACCAGTTGGGAACCATTGGTTTAACAAACTTTAAGGGATTCCCTAAGTCCCCAAGATAAGGAGAAAACCTTACATACATAAGTGAACATTTTGAGGAAACCTAAAGGAGAGGATGTGTTTGTGCAACTGATTTTATTTGAAGAAAGCGTTAACATAAACTTTAAGGAAAATCTTTACTTAAGGTGTTCTGTGCAACCAGCCCCAGATGCTGAAGAGGATTTTACCGGGATCTGAATTATCCGCAGAGGTCTCTTCCTCTCCAAAATTCCATAAATGAGGAACTGCTCCCTATGCAGAAATAAATGGCTCAATCTAAGGTACAAAACACAGTTATCCCCATTTTCAGGTGATTATAGAGAAAACATATTTGTTATATAATATTCCATTTCTGCCAACATATCCCCTTAAATCCTCCACACTGGACCTTTAATCCTTTAATCCACACAGGATCCAGAGAGGGGTATACATTTTGTTTCCTGTCTGTAGTAAATATGTTATAAAATGCTGTTTTTGTTCATTATTCTTTGCGAGCACACTAAAACATCTGTAACCTGTAATCACATTCAGGTGGGTTTACCTTCCTGCTTATCTCCCCTCCATCTGTCTTTGTGTGTATCTGCTGTCTGGTGTGTAGAGGGGCTCAGGTTTCCCAGCTCCCCTCCTCTGAGCTCCCACAGCTCCCTGCACAAGGCCGAGCGTGCCCCAGTCACACGCCCTCCTCTCTCTGCAGAGCTTGGAGCCACGGCGACACACGGCTTCCCACACTTGTGAATGCAGGCTGCTCAGCTGCACGCACAATAGAAGTGTGTCTGTTCTCACAAAGCTTCGGGACTGTTCTCAGGCAGAAAGCCACTTCACAGACACACCATCTGCTTTAGCTGTAACCCACTGCTGAGACACAGAAAATGTCTCTTTAAAACATTATACAACTTTTATATATATAGTTTTTTTAAAGGATGTGTTTAGTTTTATGGTTTGGGGCTTAATAAATGTTTGATTTGCAGAGTTTATTCAAAGTTTTATGTCAAGTTAAATAAACAGTTAATACATTTTAACACAAGACAGGATTTTTGTCCATCATGTGTCTGATTTTTGTGGCCTGAGAGTATTTCTGGTGCCATTATAATGTTCAGTTATACTGGAAAAATGTAATATTTTGTTTATTTTTATTTCACATCCCTCGATCAGTGATATTAAAGGATCTTTACCAAGTCAAATTATAATCAGTGTCCAGGCCTGTGCCTCCCAAAAACTAAATCTTCCCGTGTCCACCTCAGGAAAACCATTTTCCCACTGACCTCCCTGATGTATGGCATAAAGATAAAGCATCCCACCTGTTCTCTGTGACAGGCATTAAATTCACTCCATTGTCCTGAGCTCCGAGCCTCCTGATTGGCTGAAAGAGCAGAGCGAGCGCAGGATGGACCCCATAAATGCAGAGCAGCAGACGCAGATGACAACACAGACTTCCTCCGAACCTTCTTGAGCAACTTCCCACCACAAGAAGCAAACCTGAAAATGTCTCTCTACGCAGACCTCGCTCTTCAGGACACCGTGAAGGAGCAGCTCTTCAGGTAAGCCAGGGCCACATTTCCTCTCACTCTCACTTAGATAGTTGTTCATCTGTTAAACATCTTCATTTCATTAAGTTCCTTTTACTAAACTGACTTTACTTCTCTCAGGTGTAAACTCCACATGCTGGAGAAGAAATGCAGCAGCGCTTTGGAGAAGCTGAAGGCTCTGATCGGAGAGCACCTGCAGAACGGGATCCCTGTTTCAGACCTCCTGGAGAAAACAAAGTCCCTGCTCACACTGAGGAAAGCCCTGCTGACACACAACGGCTACTCCAAGTACTCAAGGGACATCTTGCGTCTGTTTCCTGATCAAGAGGACGACTTGGCTCCACTGTGCTTCTAAAGACAATGAGGAGCGGACTTTAGGGACTCACCAAAAACTGCAGATCTTAGAGATGCCAGCTGCATCTCTGTGTGGTGATCTGCTGATCGTAGAGAAATGCATTGTTCGCATTACTTTTGTATTTTAGGGTTTTATTTTGGCTTCAACGGAAGAAAGAAAGAAAGAAAATTGGATTCAGGGCCAAAGGTGAAGAGGTCACTGACAGAGAAGACGACTCCGGAGCGAACTTGTTAAAACATGTTGTGCTGCTATTTGTGGGATTTATGAATCTCCTGGTTTTTGTTTGAACAAAACCACAGGAAATAAAAAGGGTCTTTTAACTATGCACGACCTGGTTAGGGACCAAAATGTTTTAAAGGATTTAATTTAATTTTTTAAATGTATTTTGATTAGCTGCAGTAAAAATCTGCTTGTAATTTAAAGCCAAACAGAGCAATATTAACCTGTTCCTCCTGTAAAGAAATACAGGCTAATATTGTGTGATTGCAGTTTGCTTACAGTGTCTTACTGCCTTGTTTCAAGGTACCATGTTCTTAAACACCAACTTTTCTTCTGAAAAGGAATTTCTTATTGTTTTGTGTATGCCATGTATGCATATATTGTTTTATTCTGCATTTTTTATTTTTACTTATCCAAAGTGGATTGAAATTTGTTTTGTTGGTTTTTTGCAGACATCAAGAAAATAAATAATTTTAAATGAATTCAAATCTTTTCATCTTGTCTTATTTACAGTAAAAATGTAATTTTTTCTGCACTGAATACTTTTACTTTATATACTCTAAGTACATTTTCCTGATTATACTTACATACTTTTACTTCAGTAACATTTTCAATGCAGGACTTTTACTTGTGACAGAGTATTCTTAAAATGTGGTATTAGCACTTTTATTTAGGTAAAGGATCTGAATACTTCCTCCACCACTGGCTGCATGAAAGACCCATTGTTACCTGTCACCGCCACACATGTACAGGTGTGTGACAAATCAAAGGACAAACCTGGACAACAAAGTAGATGAACATAGTGAATACAGATGCCTGCATCACTGGCAAAGACAGGTCACTGAAAACACTGTGAACTGCACTCACCAGATCTCAGCCCAGTTGATCAACTTTCCACTGTCACTGTCACCAGTAAAAACGTCACATGAGGTGATATCTTCTAGGTGGTTTCAGCCCACCAGTATAGCTACAAAGACGGGGTGAATCTGTGGAGGCTCCTGGAGGTCCAACACCTCACTGAGACACATTATGTTAGTTTGGCATTATGCAACACCACATTTATGTTTTTACAATACCTTTATTTAGCTGATCCTTTTACGCAAACCAACTTACAATAAGTCCTTTCAACCATGTGGGTTCAACTCTTAAAAGTGCAAGAACCATGCAAATACATCAAGTTCATCTACTTCAAGTGCTGCATTTTAATAACAGAGAGAAAAGAAATGTTTTTACGAAAGGCAAATATATACTCAAATTCTGGCAATCCTGAAGAAAGTTACCCCCAGAAGTCAAAATGCACACTCATTAGAAGTGATTACACAAGTTGTACATGTGATGTGTGTAAACAAGAACCCCACAGCTGACAGGCTGAACCAGCAGCTCTCTGACTGTCTACCTTATCTGACTCATTATGCATCATAAGTTTGTGACATCTTTTAAAAATGTGAAATCCCTGTGTAACAGAAACCTCACTATCACTCCTTGCCCAGATGAGGAGTGGTGGGTTTTATTAAAAGGTGGTGTTCCTGAGACATTTATGGCTCAGTCAGTGTCCTGCATCCCAGTGTTGTGTGCAGATATTTTGCAGGGCAGATGCTCAAGTAAAACAAGCATGTACAGACTTTTCTTTTTTTGTACGCTCACAAATTTCTATTTATATTAAAACAAAAAAATTTAAGAAATGTCTTGTAAAAAGGGCACTAATCTAGTCAGAGGCCAAAACGACAGGTGCTTGATCTATCTCTGAGATCTGGGACCGTATTCACAAAGCTTCTTACAACAGAGAGTTGCTAAGATTATTCTTAGAATTTTGACGTTTTCTTCTAAGAGTAGATCCTGGTAAATGTCTCCTGGTAAAGAGCTCCCACGGTGAAAAGGACTTTTAAGGTGTTTCACAGTTTCTTAAGCAGAGGAGAAAATGGCAGAAGGACAAAGAGGTGGGAGCAATATTCTTCAAACACTGGATGACAGTGGGTAAAAGAAATACAAGATTAGATCATGCAGGGATAATGTTTGTGGTCGATACCAATACAATAACGATATAACACCAGCAATAAAGTGATCCTAACACTAACATACTTTGCAGCTGGGAAAATGCAACAGTGCAGCAGTGATGACTTGGGTCTGTCTCAGCCTTCCATCAGCAGCTTGATCACTGTGAGCTGTGGAGGAGTGGGGGTGGATCTGACTCACAGACTGTGGCGACGCCTCGCAGACAGCCTGTCACTCAAGCAGCCCCACCATTAAATATGCACAACTCTGACCTTAAGAAAATGTTAACTGGTGACTTGTGACAGACTTCAACCCCCCACAGTTGTCATGAATGTTGAAGTTACCAATAGAGACCGAAACCATTTTTGGCACAAGGCTATAAAAAGGTTTCTTTTCTGCTTTAAAGTTGGGTAGTTAACATTTTAACTTGGCGTCCACACCTTGCAGGCTCACAGAAGGGTCTGTATGTGACAACCAATCACCCCTGTTAAAAGAATGCATCACACCTGGCAACAGGGTCAACCACACCTCCTCCCTGAGGTAAAAGTCTCTGTCCCTTCCTAGCTCAAAGTTTCCCTGAGAAACTTATGACTCCTTTCTAGAATTCAGGAGCTTGTTGGGTATTCTCACAGTGTTTGTCATTTACACAAGTAGCTGATAAAAATGAGACGACAAATATAAGTTTTGTTTTTCTGATTGTTTTATTGCGCATCACTTGGCTTGAAGAGATACATTCACTTTGAGACATTTTCCAAACAACAAGCCCTTCACTGAAGGGATGCGTGCTGTCACTCACAGAGTCATAAAGCAGCACATTGGTCTAAATGTGTATACAAAATACATCTGCTAAAAATGCAGAGATGTTTAAAGATATATCAGAAAAGACATTTCAGTAAACAGAGTATGTGAATATCACATATAAATCTGCAACATGTTCAACATGATTAACTGTGTCTCCTACATGGAGACAAAAGTAAACACATCATTGTCAATGTGACTGATAATATAAAGACATTTCCATTGGGATTATAATCATGTTTACCTCACAGAGTAACATCAGAAGTATGTGACTACCTTTGAAATACAAAAAAGTAGCCAACCTGAAGTCTGCAAATATCACAGAAACACCAAATCTGACCTTTATAAAATGCAATAAAAACACTGCAGTAACACATGCAATGACTCTTCAAAATGAGACGACAGCAAAAATGAGGACGAGAGTGAAAGTCCAAGAGTACAAGAAGTACCATACAACTGCTCATTCAACATCAGAGCTTCACTTTTGTACAGTTCTTGGGTGTCTACCAAGGCCTCCAGACGGTGCTGTCAGCTGGACTCTTCTCTTTGGAGATGCTGGTCCGGACTGTGGAGTTCAGAGGAGAGAAGTCAGCCTCTGTCAGGTTGTTATCAGAGGAAGACTGCAGCTTGTTGAAGTGGTTCAGCAGTCTTCTCTGGGACTGTGTCTTCACCTGCTCTTTGGACAGGAAGTGTGTCACCTCTTGGACACACCTGCAGTAGCCCTGACCGACAGCTGCTGAGTCCACAGCTTGATGCTGCTGCTGCAGCTGTGTCAGGAAACACACTGTCATCTCCAGGATGTCTGCTTTCTCCAGCTTGGAGTCTGGCTGCTGTTTGAGGAACTCTGGACCCAGGAGAGACTTGAGCTGCTCAATGCTGCTGTTGATTCGCTCTCTGCGTAACTTCTCCACCAGAGGCTTTCTGAGCTGCAGGAAGAAGAACAAAGTCATTAATAAACTAATTCTGGAGTAAAGTGGTGGCATGAACAAAGACAAGCTTCCAAAATAACAAAATTTAAATGTTGTTGAATCTTGAGTTTACCTTGTGGGTCAGAGTGAGATGCTCCTGAGAATTGGTCATTGCTGCAGTGATTGTAGGTGCCATGTCTGGATCTGTGTGCTGTAGAGGTCTCTGTAGAGATAATCTGATCTGTGCTGGCTTCATCCCTCCTATTTATAGTCCCACATCTCCATATCAATGTGTGGGTCTGGGTCTAGTTGGAGTTTCTCACAGTCTCAGCCAATCAGAGAGCTTGCTCACACAATAAGGGATGCAACTCACTGAATGGTTTTATTGCCCCGGGGGACAATGGTTAGATCTCAGGGGAACAGGTGGAGGACTTGGGGGGGGGGGGCGGGGGTGCTGGAGAGAGACTCACAGAGCTCTGTGTGAATCTGGGAAAGTGTTGACCCTGTAGAGAGAGCAGATCTGCTGCCTGATGCTGGGATCAATGACTTTGACTGAGCACACACTCAGCATCCCAACAAACACGTGGGAGAGTGCGACAAAATCATGTCATATTTAAAATTCTCTAACACTAAACATGCATATATTTCTGTTTTCTATAAAGCAAACCTGATATTTAAAGCATGAAAAGCATTAATGTTGCTTGGTTTCTTTTTAATCTAGATGGTAATGTTGCAGAATCTGCAGCTGAGGTGATGCTCGTACTAAACTTTAAGAAAATATGTTATCCTGGTTGCAGTGTAAGCCTTTATAAAGTGTTCAAACAAAAGTCTTCTTATCAATAGTTAGATGAAGATAATCATGTTTTAAATAAAGTCTGATCACAGCTAAAGCTTTAACTTAAAACCCACAGTCTAACTGGACCACATAGGCACCTGATCAATCCAGGAATAGACACCCATTTATCCTTCCCGTCAGAATAAACAGCCTGGAATGCAGAGGAACAATCTGAATCTAAAGGAGGGGGCAGAAAAAAAAGATCTTTTGAATGTTCATTAATCCTAAACATGTCTGCATTCCTGGTAGACATTTTACAAAGGCCTGGTAATGACGAGTCTTGATGACAGGAATTTCCATTCAGAGGCAGCGAGACAAAAACGCGTAAACTGACTCCATAATTAATGTGATGTGCAACCAGACACACTTCTTTTGTTCTGCAGAGCAGTGAATGGAGCGAGTGTGGGAAAGCAGAGAAAACTCACTCACAGAGCCGCAGAGGGACAATAGAGGCGGTCCAGACAAAGACGTCTGAGGGAGGAGGGAGGAGAGAGCCTTTACTACTGAATTTTAAATGTTTACATGTTTTACTCACTAAACCTGATAGCATGTGTATTTAGATGATATCTAATTATGTTTAGATGATCTGAAAAACAAAAAGACATTCTTTAGGAGGTCTGTTGTTTGTTGAAAGATATTCAATTAACACTTTATTTGGATTGTCTGCAACCTATGCAGAATAGGTTGAGTGATTCAGCTCCATTATTCTGAGAACATGTAGTCAACTGTCACATACACTCTTTAGATAAGTGAACCAGCTGAATTGTTGAATCTCAAATAATAAGCTGCTGAAATGTTACAAATACTGTATGAACTATGTGTAGGTGGACTCTCCAAATACATTTTGATTAAAATACAATGGTGCAGGTATCAAATCTTTATAATACTACAGTATTCTAGTTATTTATTCATAGATTTTTCAGCATATTTGAATTTTAAATCATGTTGCACACCAAAAATGTTCCACCTCAATCATTTGAAATGATGATTTGAAAGATGAAGTACTTGAACCCCCTTATTTACTATTTCTAAACAGTATAGAAATAGTTGATCAATGACAGATCTAGCAGGTATAAGTTTTTATTAATGCATTTCTTTCATTTCATTTATTTAACTCATGACTATATCACATGGTATGGAGTACAAACATTACATACAATAACAAAACAGTGGCACACAGCGTGGCTAAAGTACAACCAATGTTACTTAGACAAAAAAGCACCCAGTTTACAAATGACTTTTGGTTTATCTGATTGTACTAACAAAACTAATTTAAGGATAGATGGACAGTTTAAATAATACTTTGGCAAATACCTGAAAACTACAAGTGCGGCCACTGCCAACAGTGTAACTTTACCAGAAAGACTAATATCTTCCATCATCCACGCACTGGCAAAAAGTTTTTTGTTAAAGGCATTATTTCTTGTAAAACGTCAAATGTATGTATGTCATTAAGCTTACATTCTGACATTCAGACAAAATATGACACTCATCTCCCACATTATTATCACCACAGAGGTGTCAACAACTATAATTGTTGCTGTGGGCACCTATTTGTGAAGGCTGGTGTATGGCATTGGACATTAGTGATAATATAGTAAAAATTAAGTTGTGATTATGTAAAATCTGTCTTTATAGAAGAAATCATGAGTGTAGATTCCTAGGAGGAAGCAGGGGAAATGTCCCTCTCAAAATTTAGAAATTAGTGAATTTGTCCCTCCCAATAAATACATGAAAGTAGACTTTTATTTTGATTAAATTAAAGCCATTTCCACCATAAACTGGTGCAAAAGGGCACAAATTGGTGCATAAAATTTCACCAGAATGCCAGGAATAAAGTTTGTTTATTTTATTCAGAAAGGAACCGTGCACATCAATTAACATGATCACTTCAGTCACCTAAATGTGCCAGATTTAGCCATACAAGCTAATTTTCATCTTTAGCTTGATGGTACATGTGTATATAAGAAAAAGACATTAAAATAACACACATAAGCACAGATAAAAGCAAATAAAAGTGGGGGCTGGTGTTTGACATAGTAATTTAGTGATAATATAGTAAAACATAGATGTAATTACGTAAAATCTGTCTTTGTAGAAGAGGTCAAACCAGATTTTGTGCATTGCATGTGCATTTGTCCCCCCGAATAAACACAAAAAAGTAGAAGAGGACTTTTATTTTCATTAAATTAAAACCATTTCCACCATAAACTGATGCAAAAAGGCACAAATTGATGCATAAAGTTTCACCAGAACGCCAGAAATGAAGATCACTTAAGTCATGTAAATGTGCCAGATTTAGCCATACAGGCTAATTTTCATCTGTAGTCCCTGGCAGGTTAATGCCATATGTGTATTTAAGAAAAAGACATTAAAATAGCACACAAAAGCACAGATAAAAGCAGATCAATGCCATGTCCATAGAAACGCACATAAGCACAGAGCAAGCATACAACCATAGACAAAGGCACATAGCAAGGCACATCACTATTAATAAAACAATGACATAACCATATAAAACAAAAACATTAAGAACGTACTATACAAACATAAAACACAACATAGACCAAAACACAGAGCCACAAACAAACACACAGAAGCACATAAGCAAGGACAACAGCACACAAGCACAGTTAGCACGGCAGTGACATCACCATAAAACCAAAGCAAATTAAGGAAAACATACATACAAAAGCACATAAGAACCAACATACAGTAAGAACACAAGTATTTGATGCTTAAGATTTCCTGAGAGATTTCATTTCATATATGTCTCCCCCCAATGTTGAAACAAAACCTACACTCTTGGAAGAAGTTTTAATCACTGACATTAAAGTGCTGCAGGGATGATGTTTTTCTGTAGTCCGACTCAGAAGTCAGCATCGCCCTGACCCCTTTGTCAAAAAACAGAAAATAAGCTCTGGCAAAAAAAGTTCATGACTCTTGCATGTTTAGTTCAGCATAATAATCTTAATGAATTAACATCAATTTTATGATTTCCGAAGAGCAAATGCAATCGTGAGAAGTAAAACGCTAATGGCTATAAATGAACTGCACCATGGTTGCATGACTTGTATTTACTGACATATTTTATGTCATAGAACAAAATGTGGAAGACTCTGAAGCTTGTGGTAACCACAGACTTATTTCAGGCATCTAAACAATTCAAAAAACCCATTGACTTCAATACAACAGATCTGGGAGTGCTAAATGCTAACTCATTTCTGTGTTTTAGGACTCATTCCTGCGGCACTCTATTACTACACATTACTAAACACTCAAAATGTCCCTTTATTTGCTTATAACCTCATCACAGTGTGTTATAAAGCATCTATTAAATGCTCATGTCTTGCTTATTAAAATATGTCATTTAAAGCTTTATGTAATTATGAATTAATTAAGTATATGTAATTGACTGGTTGTTAGCCTACATTCCCAGTCAAAATATTTGTGTTTATCATTCCTGCTGCTCTCGTCCCCCTAATTGAAGAGAGTGTCTAAACAACAAACGTTACCCTCAGGGGAGAGCCGAGAACTGCTTGTGTGGGGATGAATTAGCATTTAACAAGGCACATGTCTATTGTCGGCTGGGAGCTGTGTCAATGGGCAGAGTGTGGGAAAGCGGCGAGAGCACAGTCACAGTTCAGTGTGATTAGCATCCTCAACCCCACCAGCACCTGACTATTCTCAGAGGGGAGTTGGCACACTTTCCCCTCCTTATTCTCCTTCTTCTTTTCCTCTTTACTTCTTTCACAGACTGTCTCTCTCTCTGCTCCCAACTCTCTAACTTTTGCCAACTTAATTTCCACTCTGTTTATCAGGTCATTATTTCTATGTAAGTCTTTCTGTTTATTCTATTGATGGATGCCAAACTGCCAGTGCAATGTCACCCTCACAACAAGGGCTGTAAAGACCAGCTTCATGTTTGGACACATATACCTTTGTATAAAGTCCATGTGTTTCAGGAAACCTTTACGTGGATTGACTGGCGTTAACTAAAAGACAAAAGAGAGAGGAAATAATTTTGTTGGACTTTGTTTTAAATTTGGGACTCATTCTACTTCTTTCTGCTGGTTTACAAAGCACTAAATGGTTTAGTGCCCAAATACATTTTTGACCTTTTGCTCCACTATGAACCATCCACACCTCTCAGGTTGTCTAGGACACGTCTGCTTTGTGTCCCCAGAGTCGAGACTAAACATGGAGAAGCAGCGTTTAGTTTTAATGCACCACATATCTGGCACAAACACCCAGAAAACTGCAGGTCTGCACCAACTCTCACTTCTTAGACTTATCTTTTTGCTGCTGCCTTTAATTAAATAAAATATGTATTCATTTCTTACACTGCACTGGAATTTTTATGATTCAAACCCTTTTGATTTGAACTGCACTGTAAGATTAATTCTTGTATTTTATGCCTGTCTAGATGCATTTTAACTTTTATGATTTTCATTCTCCACTTCTTTGATAATGTGCTTTTAAATGTCATTTTATAATTTGTTTCATTTGCACCTTGTCTCGATGCTTTTTAAGTTTTATGCAGAGCACTTTGAATTGCTCTCTTGCTGAAATGTGCTATATAAATTAACTCGTCTCAATTTGCCTCCTTTTAAAGGCAATAATGCAGGTTGCAATGCTTGGCACAGGATGGAAAAGATTGTGTATCAATGAAAAGTAAATGCGACAAAGTGCAATGGAAACACATTCAGCGAATAAATGATGACCTACAGTCGTGACATTGCCATCATTGCATAAGCCACTGCAAGCTCTCCTCGTCGTGTTTGGATGCTTATGTGACCCTTAATATAATGATAAAAAATATAAATAAAAAAATGCTAAGTAACGATGCACTGTTGCCCAAAATAATCATCAGCAAATGTAATCGTAATAACAAATGAATGTATCATATTGGCATTATTATCACTACTAGTATTACAGTTTACTGCAGCTCTGTGTGTGGTTTGTGCAGGAGGTATTTCTGTGCCGCAGCAAAACACAGCTCACAGGTGTATTAAATACCAATGCTGTTCCCGCCTTACAACAAAATGTGGCTTGTGCCTTGTTCCTTTAACTCTCTATCACCTGGCTGTAACCACTTCTCCATTCAAATCCCCCTCCACTTTCTCGACTTTAAAACTTAGCGACTGTCATTGTGCTCCTCCAGATGGTTGTTGCCGCCAAGTTCTGCCCTTTGCTCAACACAAGGCCAGTGAGGCATTCAAAGTGCTTTTGTGCTGCACTGATGACAGTGTGGGAAACTTTCACTGAGTCTTAACTCACTGGAACAACTTGTCACAAGACAGAAGGCACATCTGTTTCATCTGGACGACTCTGAGCTGAATGAGTCTGACTTTACTGCTATGCTAAATAACAACATGACAAAGCATGCATGAACAAATCTTTTTTGAATATTTGCAAGATTCTGTTATACCTGGTCACAACAGTTAAATATGTTCATTTAAAAAATTAAAGATGATTTTTAACACAATATCCTAACCATAAACTGATACTTGATTTAAAAGCAAAAATGCAACAATACACAAAAGTATAAAGTGTTTTTTAATGTTGAGGACAATCTCCCAGTCACTCTCCCACGTGTGTGATGTGATGATGAGCGTGTGCTCAGTCAAAGTCATTGATCCCAGCATCAGGCAGCAGATCTGCTCTCTCTACAGGGTCAACACTTTCCCAGATTCACACAGAGCTCTGTGAGTCTCTCTCCATCACCCCCCCAGTCCTCCACCTGTTCCCCTGAGATCTAACCATTGTCCCCCGGGGCAATACAAGAGCATTCAGCGTGTTGCCGCTCCACATGTCTTATTGTGTCACTGAGCTCTCTGATTGGCTGAGACTGTGAGAAAGTCCAGTGAAACCAGGACCCACACATTGATATGGAGATGTGGGACTATAAATAGGAGGGATGAAGCCAGCACAGATCAGATTCTCTCTACAGAGACCTCTACAGCACACAGATCCAGACATGGCACCTACAATCACTGCAGCAATGACCAATTCTCAGGAGCATCTCACTCTGACCCACAAGGTAAACTCAACATCCAACAACATTTAAATATTGTTACTGAAAGCTTGTCTTTTTTCATGCCAACATTTACTCCAGAATAAGTTTATTAATGACTTTGTTCTTCTTCCTGCAGCTCAGAAAGCCTCTGGTGGAGAAGTTACGCAGAGAGCGAATCAACAGCAGCATTGAGCAGCTCAAGTCTCTCCTGGGTCCAGAGTTCCTCAAACAGCAGCCAGACTCCAAGCTGGAGAAAGCAGACATCCTGGAGATGACAGTGTGTTTCCTGACACAACTGCAGCAGCAGCATCAAGCTGTGGACTCAGCAGCTGTCGGTCAGGGCTACTCCAGGTGTGTCCAAGAGGTGACACACTTCCTGTCCAAAGAGCAGGTGAAGACACAGTCCCAGAGAAGACTGCTGATCCACTTCAACAAGCTGCAGTCTTCCTCTGATAACAACCTGACAGAGGCTGACTTCTCTCCTCTGAGCTCCACAGTCCAGACCAGCATCACCAAACAACAGAGTCCAGTCAACAGCGCCCTCTGGAGGCCGTGGTAGACACCTACAGACTGGAGTTACTACCAGACAAACTCAGATGACCATATTGGTCAAAGATTATCAGACATATTATTCTGAAATGTGATAAATGTCTCTGTGCAAAGTGTTTTAATTCAAGTTCATACTGGACTGACATTTCCATTTATTCTTTGGAATATTTTTCAAAGATTAAGAAATCTTTTTTGTTGCGGCGCAACATTGTATTCTATGAATACCATATATTCTCTTATTGATTTGTCAATATAATCAAAAATTGGCCAACACTGGTCAGCATTATCATACCTGTCATTAACTTCTGTAAGTCTTCTGTATCATATTGATCCAGTGACAGGAGTCGGTGATCTCAGCTACTTTCTGGTGGCTCTTTCTCATTTATGTACCAAGCTGACTTTTTACTTTGTAAAAGATCATTGACCCATGTTGGGTTTTGAAGTTCTCATTTGTCATCAGTATGTCCTGTTGTGTCAACAGTACTAATGTATATCTGAAAGCCTCTCAATGAGAGAGCATTTGTTCACTTTGTTTAGTTTGAACTAAATGATTCCCAGTGTTTTGTAAAAAAAAACACTGAAGCTGTTTACTCTACTTTGAGTCCATTGTGTGGGACTACAACTTTATACTGTGATGCATCATCACCACGAGTGCCTCTATGATGTGGACCATTCAATATTTTTGAATAAAAAACATCAACTGAATCTTGAGCTGTCGTTTCATCCTTTACACTGACAACATGAACAGAGAACAACTTTATCTGAATACAATGACAGTGCAGGCATTCCATTATTAATTGGGCTGATTGTAGTGGATTACATTAGTTTGCATGGCTGTTGATATTATTGTCTCCTTCCCTCAGTTTGTAGCATTAGCTTTACAGTACTACTGTGGCTCAAGACTACCATCTAGTGGTTAGTTTATGAATGTGCACTTAAATGCACAGAAACACATACAATATTAGCTGCGTTACTAATGCAGTTGTAAAACACAGTGGGCCCTTTACATACAGGTTACTCATTTGTTTCCTCTTTAGTACATTTAAAGTTGAGAAAAACATCTGTATCAGCTTGTTCCAACTTTTCATTGAAGCTTTGTGATGTTATCACAGCATGAAACATTGAAACCCATGACTTCATATTTTAGGTTGTATGATTTCATCAAATATGTCACACATCTTGTGCATCTTTCTACATTTATTCTGCAAAATTCACCCTGGCATGTTTGGAACTTTTGGAAACTTTGGATTCAAAACAATAATTTAAAAATAAAGCGTGGCTGCACAGCATAGTTTTTTTTTGACGAAACCACTTATGAGCTGCTGTTTGTTTATAATGTTTAATTATTCAGAACCTCTCACCTTAACAGCTACAACAATAATCTATTAGTTGAGATAAGTGGCTGTGGATACAGTAGTTGTTACCACACCTTTAAGTTCTGCTTCAGAAGACCATAATCAGTGGTTTGGCAAAAAATAGATTTGTTTCCTATCTTAAAAGTTTTTTTTTGTAGTAGTATGAGCAACTTAACAATTTAAAAAGAAGATTCCAAGAGGATTCTGGGTCACCAACCAATGTTTTATCCAGTGTTGGGGAGTAGTGAACTACATGTAATGAAACTAGAATGACTACATTCACATTTGCACAGTGATTCAAGAAGTAAAATTACCTTTTTGCCTTTTTTGTGTAGTTAAGACTGTAACTACAAGCATTTTGGGGCCATAAATGAGAGGGAATGATTTATTACTTTTATTTTACTTTCCCGACTGTAATCGAACCTCATTTGTCCACATTTAATCATAAGTACTGATCATTGCTATTCAGAGACATTGTAGCATGTTTTTTTAGAAGTTATCTGGCTGACTGAGTAATCCTGCTTGGTGCGTTATCTAAACTCGAACTATCTTTACTGATAGCAGGTGTCTGACTGATGGACACTGTGTACAAAACCAGAGCATTTCTGCTCTTCCCGCTCTTTCCCATAAATTTTTTTTTGTCTAAATTGTAAACAAGTGGGCATTTTTTGCAGTGAACTCAGTTGTTGTTTTTTTTCTGCTTAGGCACTGTTCGTTACTTATGGGTGGAGGGTGGTGCAAAAAGGGGGAGGCATATGATTTTTAAAGCACTGGGGAGGGACTTTTTATTAGGGATTTTTATTTTGGCTTGGGAGATGGGCATACAAATATAAATGGTTGTATTTTCTTTTCTATTTTTTTACCCCAGATTTTTTAAAGAAAACATGCATGTTGTCTCAAAATATCACCAAAATTACACCATTTATCATCGCCAGAAACTGTAAAAAAAAAATAAAAAAATAAAAAAAAGGAATTATTGTTGGATTTTAAATTCTCTGATGGTTTAGGACACATCATGTGGGACAAAATCTTCGGTCGGATAAAAAATTAACATAAAAATCAGGGTTTAGAATAGTGATTTTTCATTAAAATCACTTTTTGTCTCATTTAAAATTTGGCCAAAAATAAACCGTATGCACAAACTAACCAGCATGCACGACAACAGTGAAAATACAAGGCTTTTTTCAATTCCAGGACTTCATCTTCAACTTTTAACTTTCGAACATCAAAGGGTAAGTTTTAAAAATCTAATGACAAATTAATGGTGGAGGGAGGGTCATGCATTGTCCACCTGCCAGTCAGGGAGGCTCAAGTAAAAATAGGATAATGCATTTTTGAGGAGGGTAAAAAAGAAAGCCATCCACTCCTTTGACAAGTAAAGAACAGTCCCTTATGATTTCTTCTTCCTCTTCTTCTTTTTGTATCATATGTATATTGTCAATTTGATCTTTGTCTATAAGAAGCTTGGGTTTATCAAACTGTATGTAGCCTAAAGTAACTGGTGGCTTGCACAGCTATGCTTCAAAGTAGCTTCCCTAACATTGGTCATATCATATCATGTGTCAAATTTTCATACCAGTTTTGAGCAGACGTGCAGAGAGCCATTAATTAAATATGTCCTCTTGTCGTCAGATATAAAACAAGTGAACCAAAAGTGTTGAAAAGTCTCTGTAAGATGTTTTTCAATGTGTGTACTGTGTCCATGACGGCACTCAAGTGTTTACAGACGCCTCTCAGTGTGCGTGGCTGCTGATTGGCTGACGTGGGGTCACGCACGTATGCACGCGGCGCACGCAGCGTCAAATCGTTGCGGACCATGGCGGAATGTGTTCGGCTGGGGAGCAACACAAGTGGTCATACCATGGATAAAAGCATTATTCTGCCACCCGACGAAATATTCCGCAACTTGGAGAACGCAAAGCGCTTCGCGATAGACATAGGTACCCGGAAATACTAAAATTGTCCTTGTTTCTTCTTCCTGTTTAGCGCGAGCGCAGCCAATGTCCGTTATCACCAGTTATGCTGCAGCCTGATACTATGACAACACATGACTTTAAGTGGAAGTAAATAACACACAGCTAACGCTAGCCGCTTTAAATCGTGTTTAGGTTGAGTTTATTTGACAGACAGTCTGTTAGCTTTAAATATAGAAGCGTGACGAGGTGTCAGGATTATCTTTACCTCAGAAAACGGATTGTGTCAAACACGTCTGCTCAACTTTTACAAGTGAGACTGCGGTCAAGTGAGGCACCGTTGACGTTAGCTGCTAGCTAGCCTGTGTTGAAGTTTTCTCACATGTGTTTATACAGCTAACAGTAACGTTACAATCCACCAAGCTTTAAATCTGGACTTTAATCCCGTGTGTCAGCTGTCTAACGGGTTTCCTATCGGACGTTGTCCATGCTTCTGCTCCAACAGGGGGATCTCTAACAAAGCTTGCCTACTACTCAACTGTCCAACACAAGGTGGCCAAAGTGCGATCTTTCGACCACTCTACAAAGGTAATTATCTGCTGTAAATCAGTGTATGTAAAATCTGTGGCGTCCTGGGGATTGTGCCAAGTTTCCCTGCCTCCCACAGAGCCATAACTGCATGGTAGCCTGCATGTCTTTATGAGTAATACCTCCAACATATAACCTAACATATGTTAGCTGACCCGTTTTCACAGAAAAGGACATCACAGTGAAGCTCAAACCAGTCCTGCAGGTATTATACACTTCTCTGCACACGTATCTAGAATACTGCAAACACTCATACTCGCTGTACGTGCCAAAATACATTCTACCACACTATATAGTATGCCTGAAAAGTCCTTACACATAGTATGCCAAATACAGTGTGCCAAAAATACCAGGATGTTCTACTACATCTGGTCTGATTTTGCAGTATGCAAGCCAGCATGCTTTTCTGTCTATTCTGACCCACAATCCTCTGCAGCACATCAACTTAGTCACAGATGACAGCTTGTCAGAAGCCGTAATGGCTGATGACAGTGCATTCTAGTAACCAATGACCAGTTAAATAGTAATAATAGGAGTATTGATTGTTTAAGTGACCAAAATAATCACAAACACTATGAAAATGACAACGACAGTGAAACGACATCTGCAGTTCACTGTCGCAAATATGTTAGAATCGACAATCTGTGCCGTTATAACTTGAAAGGTAACCTGCATACATTGCAAAGTAACAACAGCAGAGCTCCCTGGGTTGATGTCCATCTCTGGTGAGCTCGGTGAACAGCGTTTTGTTTTATTTCCAAGGTAATGGATATAGAGTGTAACCTTTTAAGGAGGTAGTATGTCTTGATCGTGTGCATACTGCATGCAACAGTGCATTCTTTGCAAGGGCAGCTGCAGTGCCTATTAAAAGTAAGAGAGTGTATCTGATCAAATGCAGTATGCCAAAAATACCAGGATGTCCCACTACATCCTGTCCAGTTTTGCATTGACTTAGCCACAAACACAAGCTGATTGACTGTCAGGAGTTGTAATGACGGATGACAGCGCATTCAAGTAACTGATGACCAGTCGAATAGTAATGCTAGGAATATAGATTAGTGAACAAAATAAGAATGAATATTACAAATAACATCAGGACATAACTATGACAATAACTGACAGAATCTACAATCTGTGCACGTCTAACTTTAAAGTTAAATGACATACATTGCGCAGTCACAACAGCACATCTCTCCAGGTTGACCTCTGACTCTGGTGAACTCAGTTAGTGGCGTTTGTTTTATCTCCAAGGTCAGGGATATAACAGTAAGAGGGACAAAGTTCAGGACATTATGAGACAGTAGCGTGTCCCCATTGTGTGCATACTGCATGCAACAGTACATACTCTTTAAGAGCAGCTGCATCACCTACTAAAAGAAAAAGTATGTGATTCAGAATGCACCCTTGTGTCCCCAATAAATTGCGAAACACTTTACTTAAAGTTCAATCCTCACACTTTACTATTTGACCTTATTGTAACCTCTGTGTATGCACGCTGACTCAGCTGTCAACTCAGCCAAAAGACAGTTTGGTCCAGTCCAAACAACTTTATTTATCCCAGAGAGGCAGTTCAGTTTTACAATCTAAGCCACAGGCAGACACAAGCAGCGATCAGCAGTAGCAATATGTCAAAGAGAGAGGTCCTGTGCATACTGACTCACACGTGGACCAGGCAAAGAATAGTAATTTACATAATTAAATAAGTAAATTAGTAAATATAAATAACCATTCTAGTGCACTGCACATTACTTAACTACATTCGTGAAATGTACGAGCCTGCCATTCATGTGGAGAAGACCAGACAGAGTAAACCAACTATCCAGTCAAAGCTGTAAGTGTAAATAAAATTAAAAAGGACATCACAAAGTCCAAAATGTATTTCTGTTGTCTTTGTGATGTCATCTTGGCAAGGCAGGCTTAATATTTTCCAGTGTTATTGCAAAACCTGTGTTGAAGGGAACTGATGACCTCTCACCCAGTTGACTTTGCTTTATTTCCAACTGGACGGCAGAGCTCAGCAGAGCCATCTACACTCCACTCTAGTGGGGGGCAGTGTCAACGGCAGGATGTAATGAAGTATTCACTCTTTCTCCTCCGTGTTTCCGTCTCATCTGTGTCCCCAGGAGGCCTCCAGTGACAAGCTCTATGAAATATCCGTGCAGGAAGAGGTCACTGCACGCCTGCACTTTATCAAGTTTGAAAATGCTTACATCGAAACATGCCTGGACTTCATCAAAGACCACCTGGTCAACACGGACACCAAAGTTATCAAAGCCACAGGTGGAGGGGCGCACAAGTTCAAAGAGCTCATCGAGAGGAAACTCGGACTCAAGTGAGTGGACGAACGCGCTGTGAATATAGCTAAGAAACTGTTGCTGTACTGTTGAACCTTATACAAAAACAGAACAGGAAGACAAATATCTGGCGTATTCTGCATGACTAAATTGGAATGAACAATGGCCCTGTGGCCTTGCTGTGACTTATTCAGACTCAGAGCAATATCCTGTCCTCTTCCTGCGAATAAGAGGACCAACCAGATTGTTTAGGAGACCTCGTGAGGGCTCTTCTGGAAAATATCAACTGTTTACTGCCTTGTAAACTGCTGCAACCACTTTGTTTGCTAACCAAACATCATGTGACAACATTTACATGAAACTTAACATGCTATTGTTGCATCTTTATGGCATCAGTGCAGCATTAGAGAGCCATATACATGTCAGTTTTTTCAGTTTTCCAGTTGAATGTTGCTCTAGGAGTTCAACTCAAAGAAAGAGACTCTCAATGTGCATACCTGCAGACAGCTGCTGAAGCTGCTGTAAATATCTAGTAATATTGTAAAAAACAGAAAGATATTGCACATTATACATAATTTACCAGATGCATGACAGAATAGTTAGTCTGCTCTGGCTGTTATTCACATTTGGCTGAGGATGATTCAATCTGATGGACTGTGTATGTGCTGCGTTGTGGCAGAGTGGACAAAGAGGATGAGATGACCTGCCTCATCAAGGGCTGTAACTTTGTGCTGAGGAACATACCCCACGAGGCTTTCGTGTATGCCAAGCACGCCGACTCAGAGTTCCGCTTTCAGACGACTCAACCTGACATCTTCCCCTACCTGCTCATAAACATCGGCTCTGGGGTGTCCATAGTCAAGGTAGTAACTAAAGTCAATGTGTATACTCTTAATCATCACGTATGACCCGCTTTCAGTGTGTGGCGGTGTATTTTCTTACTGTGTTCAGGACATTCCTGGGCACAGGTGAGGTTGGGCTTTATAAAAAGGTGGCTACAAAGTGCCAGACTGTAAGCAGCAGGCATCCAAGAGTAAGCTACGAAAATTATGGAAACAGGGCTGTAAAAAAGGCAAATACAGCGAACAAGAGTGAAACTGAGATTGGCTATTAGTGTGACTTTTGCAGGTGAAATTGTTACAAGCAGTTACCACAATTCCTGCATAGCATGCCTCCACGATATTAGTTCAGCGACAGAAAATTAATCAGTTGTTATTTTGATAATCCATTATGTTTGAGTAATTTATGAAGCAATATCATAAATCAGTCTCCGGTTTTGGCTTCTCCAATGTGATGATTTCATAGAGGAGTAACAAATGTATTAACCTGGGTCTCTCCCTCTTCAACAGGTTGAATCAGAGGACAAATTTGAGCGAATAGGAGGAAGCTCAATAGGCGGAGGGACGTTCTGGGGCCTCGGAGCCTTGCTTACCAAAACAAAGGTATCTGAAATTATTTTGTCTACTGTTACTGTCATGCTGTAATAGCCAGCCACTAAACATCGGCTTCTAAGTGCAATGATTTACATAGACTGTATAAAAGAAGTGGACATAGCCACCGTTAAGTCATCCATTGGTTTGTGGACGCTTTGAAGCCTCGAGTTTGGCATTTTGGTGGTCACCATCTTGCCATCTTGGTTTTTTTGGAGCCAGAGGTGACGTTATTTAAATGAGAGGGTGGAGCTGCAGAGGATAGGCATTGCTGCGCCTCTATCCTGACTGACAGATCACCGTAGTAATGACCTTTGAGTCACAAGGTTGCCACATCCTAAAGCATACTGTGCTTTATCGTCTATGAACAGACTTAAAACTAGTGATTGGGACCATAATCACATTAGGAAAATGTTTACTGAGGTAATACATCAAATGACAAGTACAGTCATTTTCTCGCACACTTCCAACCAGTGCAGTGGCCTACTGCTGGCCATGAGAGAGAATTTAGGTTTAAGGCACTTTCACATTGGCTTAACATCTCAAATCTGGATGCTATTGTCATGGCAAACGATATCCTGGGCACTTCATACTACTACTTAAAGCAAACACTCATCTAGGGCTTCCAGGGCTTGGCTGCCAGTACATATATTAGAGGAGAGTGAGCATGAGGGTGCCAGGCTAAAGGTAAGGAAGATGGGCCTACCTGTTGTCTTACTGTCTTGGCCCTGTTCTGACGGCTGTCACTTGGTCTGCGTGCTCTCCGTGGTCTGACCCCGCTTAGTGTTGCCACTCCATTGACAGTTCATATGTAGACATTAGACATGCTGACGATAACTTAAAAACAAAACTTCATAGGGAAAGGAGGAAACTCATGGTACTCAGAAACATCTCTCATCAACTTCAGCCCCCACCTGGTCTGAATCATCTCTCTTGATTACTTTGACACGCCCCCTTTCAAACACAGGCCCCACACCTAGGTAAGCCCAACCCACCTAGCCTGACAGCCATGCAAGACAGCCAAATAATGACACTATGTCCACTTCTTTCATACAGTCTGCCAATATTTTGTTCCCGTAAATCTTGTGAACTTTACCCTTTTCTCTCCTGTAGAGATTTGACGAGTTGCTACAGTTGGCGTCAAAAGGGCAGCACACGAGTGTGGACATGCTCGTCAAAGATATCTACGGAGGATCTTACGGGTCTTTGGGACTGACTGGAGATCTTATTGCGAGCAGTTTTGGAAAGTCTGCTACTGCCGACAAAGGTGACCATGGCGGGTAGATTGTTGCATGTGGCTGCCCAGTGGTGTTATTTATGTATATGTCCAGATCATTGCCATCAAAGACTTACAGACACTTTATATACAGTATTGTAGTTGGTATGTGCAGTTCATTCTGTTAATTAAAGCAGTACCCCGACCATCTTAAGAGTATGAAAAACTCACCCTCTGTGGGCTTTAAAGGTGGCTGTTAAAGGAAAAGTTACCTTGAAGGGCAGCAGCTGGATTCAGCTTTGATTCATGGTTCAGAAAAATATATTTTAATGGTGACCCAGTTTCACAGTGATGTATCAACATTTCCACTGAAACTCAAACCACTCCTGCATGAATAATCCACCTCTCTACTGTCAGTCCGAACTCTCAAAATGTTGCAAACAGTTACTGCAATAAATGGCAAAATACACTACTTAAGTTTCAGTTCTCACACTCCACTATTGGAACTCATTGCAACCTCTGTGCATTCACACTGACTCCACCACTGCTGTTCACCAAACTTGAAAATAAAAGGGTGGAGTTCAGCTTGAAGTGTAGAAAATTAGTCAAAAAGTTCAGTGCGTATTTCTGTTGTCTTTGTGATGTCATCTTGGTAAGGCAGGCTTAAATGTACAGTGGTGGAAAAAAGTTTTCGGACAACCTTAAAATTTTACACAATCTCAAATATTATCATGAAATATTTGTGGAAGAATCTTTTTTTGTGTTTCAAAAGGTGTGGCTGCATTAGACAGATACAAACAAATACAAATTATATTTTTTTGTTTATTGTTTACAAGAAAAACTAACAAAACTAAATTCTTGACAGTTTCAATATGTCAGTTCTCAACATTGTCGGTATCAAAGTCAACAAATAACAGAGAATGTGTTCAAAACTGAACAAAAAATAAATAAACCATCACATCATCAAATTAATATTTAGTAGTCATGCCATTGGCACGTAGTAGAGCTCTAATCCTGGCTGGCATGTTCCCCACGAGCCTTTCACACTGTTGAGGGGTAATCTTGTCCCATTCTTCTTGAATTACTGCTTTTAATTCTTCCAAATTATTTGGTTTATGCTTTGAAACAGACCTTTTGATAATCCACCACAGATTTTCAATGGGGCTCATGTCCAGGGATTGAGCTGGCCACTCTAAGACCTGGATACTGTGCTCCTGCAGCCAAGTTCTACTGGCCTTGGATGTGTGGCAAGGGGCATTATCTTGTTGAAACATCCAGTTTTTACCTCGACGGAACAGTGCACGCGCAGAAGGGAGCATGTGGGTTTCGAGAATGGTGCAATACTTGGTAGAGTTCAATGTGCCATCACAGACAGTGAGATGACCAACACCAGCAGCACTCATGCATCCCCAAACCATGATACTGCCTCCATCATGCTTGACAGTAGGTACTGTACATGCTGGAGATAATGCTTCGCCTGGCCTTCTGCGTACCCTCACATTAGTAGGAGGAAGATAAAGCTGGAAACTGGACTCATCTGACCACAAAATCTTCTTCTTCCTGGCTGTCCAGTTCTTGTGTGCCTGGGCCCAACGACGCCGGGCTAACCTCTGTCTCTCATTGATCAGGGGCTTCTTGATAGCCTTGTAGGACCTTAAGCCATGATCTAAAAGTTGGCCACGTACAGCGCGGGTGGAGTGCTGGACACCAGTTTGGTTTGACCACTGCTGCTGAAGCTCCTGTGATGTCATTTGGCGGTTTTGCCTGCACATGCAGATCAGGATGCGGTCATTTCTTGCTGAAGAAACCCTTGGACGCCCAGATCTTGGTTTGTCTTCCAAGCTGTTGGTTCGTCTGTATTTCTGCAGAGTGTATCCAACTGCTGAAGGACTGCATCTGCACTTCCTGGCTATCTGGTGGCAGCTGTACCCTTCCTGGCTGAGAATCTTTATCTTCAGGCGTGTTTCCTGCGTTAGGTTCCTTGTTTTAACCATTTTTGTGTCTGAAGAACTTTCAGATGTGCTGGCTTTATGTAGACACGAAGCTTGGCTACAAAAATTGTGTCTTTTAATAAAAAGAACGACCTTCATCACTGGTACCAAAATGACCCAATACTCAAAATTTCTTATGTATTTTTATGGAACCAATCAATTTTAAGTTTTTAATGGCTTTTTTAGGATTTATTTAGTATTTTGGCTGTGACTGTACTAAAAGAAATTGCACTTGAAGACCTAAGAGTGATTCTTAATGCAATATTTCACAAATGCATGGGGTGTCCGAAAACTTTTTTCCACCACTGTACATTATGCAGGAGAGAGATACAACCCCAGACTGGCATATCACCTTGCTTTATTTGCATTTTTCGGTGATTTTTTTCACTTCCTCTTGGATGCCTGCTGCTTACTGTCTCGCCCTCGGTCATTATTTTTTTATAAAGTGCACACTGTGACCAGGAACGTGCCGTACATAACACAATAAGAAGAAAAGAACATACAGACAGAGGGCAGAGTCCACCACACACTTTAACTGGGTCATAAGTGATGATTGAGAGAGATTACGTCTGCATGAGTCTCTATGTTGTTTTTTAGGAAAATCCTGCATAGCATACCTTTACTATTTTCTAGTTTTATTGCAAAACCTGTGTGTAAGTGAACTGACGACCTTTCACCCAGTTCTGATACAGCTTTTCTCTCTCCATGCTCTGTATCTGTAACTGGGTGGCAGCACTCAACAGAAACTCACAGCTTTTACTTGATTATCACAGCAAATCCTGTTTCTATCCATCTCTGCAGTTTAAGTGTGAAAATATGGATCAGGATTTTGATATTTGTAGACCTCCTGAAGCAGCTTTCCACTTTTGTGATGTTTATATTGTGCCTGTGTGTTCATTTAACTCTGGTGTTAATTGCAGAGTTTTCTAAAGAAGACATGGCCAAGAGCTTACTCCACATGATAAGCAATGACATCGGGCAGCTGGCCTGTCTGTATGCCAAACTCCACAACCTGTCCAGAGTTTACTTTGGAGGCTTCTTCATCAGAGGACACCCCGTCACCATGCACACCATCACCTACAGCATCAACTTCTTCACCAAGGCAAAGCCTCCTCCTCTTCTTCCTCTGCTCACCTAAAACAAACTAACTAAAGAGTCTTTGTGCTTTACAAGAGTTCCTGATTGTCTGTCTGTTTTCCTCACTGCAGTGATATATTTCAGTTTAGTCCTGAAGTTGGTTTGTTATCTTATGTCGTTACCTTCATTTGTTTTGTTTCTTTTGTTGTAGGGTGAAGTTCAGGCCTTGTTCCTGAGACATGAAGGCTATCTCGGAGCCATTGGAGCATTTCTTAAAGGAGCAGAGGAGGACAGTAAGGAAACACTACACTGCACATTATTGTCCTGAGTTTGGTGTCAACAGCGTTACTGTACATACTGATAAATATTAGGCTGAAAGCTACAAACAGCACAGTGGGTAAAGGAAAGATATTTGGTCTATCTCTTTTTTTGTGATTCGGTTTTTATTCTACATTAAACTAGTAACAAATATTACAATTATAGAAAACAGCACTCACAAATGAGTACCTTTAAATAAGAATAACATGCATTATAATGTAACCGTTAGACCCTAACTATATCATGATTGCATCTTGTACCCCTCCAGATCCAAACCAGTACAGCTGGGGTGAGAATTACGCGGGAAGCTCCGGCCTGATGAGCGTCTCTCCAGATATGAATCCCATGCAACGTGCGCGCAGTGGAACGGTGAGTCTGCAAAGGAAGCAGAGAGTGATCAGATATGAAGACCTGAAGCTGGGTCGTGTGCCATGAGGCGCCCACTTAAACCTCATGACCTATTTTCACTCTGCTGCTGGTGCTTTGGTTTTTATTCCACCCGCCTTCTTCCATTGGGATATTTTTTACATCTGAACATTTTTATTTATGATCTTCTTCATCGTCACCGCTGTCCTCACTGAATCCACAAACATACAGAGACTAGGCCTGCCATGATAATTATGTTACTGACTTATGGAGGTCGACAAAAATTATTGAGGTCAGGTCTGTATATCATACGATATCGCCTGTTGTGTTTGCACACGTGTTTGTTTACACCAACATTTAGTCAACATGATGCCAAAACAAACAGCAGGGTTTGGCAGTGTATTACATGTGCCAAATGTCTATAAATATTTATTTAAGTGCAGTTTTTGTTAACAGAGCCCAAAGTCCATTTTATCTATAATGTTTGATTTATTTAAAATATTTAAATGTTTATTTCACATTCCAACTCCAATGTCTAAATACATTTAAGCATTTTAATTGTTTTATTATCAATATATTAGTGGCATAAAATGCTCTAATGTCAGTTATAGCAGTAGTAGTTATCGTGACAGGCCTAACGAAGACATTCATTAATCTCTTCTTTTCATTTCCTCTCCACACACTCCTCTGTCTACCTAACCCTCTCCTTCAGTTTCCCGTAAGTACCTCCGACTGCGTCACCTGTGTGCTCTGGTTTGATGACATGTGGCTCCTGCTCACTGCGCTTTGTTCTCTAATTGTAGACGCTCAGTATTTAGAGATGTCAGGCATTCACTTTGTTCACTTGCTCGAGGAGCAGAGAGATCTGAGAGCTTTAGCTTTGCTGAAGATCTTGCCTCTGTTTTGTCTGTTACCAAACTGTTTTTTGGTCAAATGATACTCTGTGAAGATGGGAGATGAGAGTGTTTGATGCTTTCGACAGCCACTTTGCTTGTTGATTCCTTGGTGTGATACTCAGAGCATGCAGGCCTCCGTAGACCTCCTCTGTTAACATTAGAGTCCACTCTCACCACTGAGATTCCTGCTCTTTTTCCAGCTTAGTTTTCATTAGAGCAAACTGGCAAAGTGTGATGCCGGACTGCAAATGAAATATTAGCTCATCTTTGGCGACTTACCACTCGAGAAACCTTCTATCGATGTAGTTTGTTCCTTAATGGGCTATTGATTGTGTCCCATTATTAATGAATCTGCTGGCTCCCACTGGCTTTTAGGAATAAATCTTTCTAGGACCTTCCCTTTCTCTTCCTTACCGCATCTTCCTCTCTGCTTGTTTGTTGCATCGATAAGGAAAATATACTAACAAGTGTGAAACCTTCCACAGTGTTGCTTAGAAAAAGAGAAATATTGTGAAATATGTCCTAGAATAAAAGAGTGACAGGTGGAATAGACTTTGGTGTTTGAGGAGTTGGAAGAATCTCTGTGCAGTCTCAGTTTGTGGACAAAACAGACAGCGTGCATCGTCTCTGTCTCTTTGTTGTGTCCAGTTTGACATGTTGGAGATGGACCGTCTGGAGAGGAAGCTGGTGAATCTGCCTCTGCTGCAGGACGCTTCGTCTTACATCCCCGACACTGTGGACCTCACAGAGGACGCTCTGGCCCGTGAATACTGGCTCTATTGCTTCGAAGAGGCCCTAGACGGGGTAGGATGGCGGCTCATGTTTTGGAATACAATAGCAGACTCTTGAATTAAGACGTGCCATACAGACAAAGTTTTAAACTTTTTCTTGAAAGAAAAAAAATCATAGACTGTGTAAAATAATGATTGTAGCCACCGTGATATCACCTGTTGGTTTGTGGACTCACGGTTTGAAGCCTCGAGTTTGGCATTTTGACCATCAACATCTTGGATTTTTGGAGCCAGAATTGACCATATTTGGACGAGAGGGTGGAAATAACCCAAACACTAGCCGCTAGCTTGGTTAGCATGTTGCATTTACAGTCTGTGGTTAACTGTGATAATGGTAATGCTAATTTTCTTTAACAAAAAACAAGCTTAAAACCATTAGAACAAAATGTCTTTACTGGAAAAACTGAGCATCTTACTCCTTAAATGTGTTTTAGTACAAACATGTGCAGAACAAGACTTTTTTATGCGACCAAAAAGCTACACTTATACTCTGTGAATCTGGGGTTACACCATGGTTATGTCACTTAACTATCGTTGTGATAGTGACTTGTCAAAGAATGGCACCTTCCTGTCACTGACAGAGACAACCCTCTTAATAAAACACAACTTTAAGCCTCAATAATATGTAAACGGGTGAGTTATATAAAAATTAGCTGTAGAGATTAGCTGTAGCAATTGAAACCGTTTTTTGTACTAGTCTGTAAACATGTTTATTTCTGTTGCCAAGTTGGGCATTTTTAATACGGGGTCTGTGGGGTTTGACTCTCTCTTGGAACCAGTTTTTGGCACTTAAGCACTTGCTTAATTTTTCAATACTGGAGGTTGCTTGGGGAAAATCTAGTAAAACAAAAGAAACATGATGATGAAAAAAAAGATACATTTCATAAGTGACTGAGGAAGTTTTGAAACTGTGATTCGAGCGTAGATGAGACATAATCTCTGCCTCTTCTCATGGATTTATGTCTGTATGAATTTATAACAGACAAGACAAGACAGTGAATTAAGAAAGAAACTCTTGATCTTCCATCAAAATGTCACATTCACACTTGATATTTTAGACAGCTTACAGTAGAGAGTTTTTGTTGTCAAGTTACATTGTATTTGGCGAAAAAAAAACAGTTCAATATCATATCAGGTCATCCATGTTAAGCCTGTTATCTGTGACAGGATTAAGATAAAAAAGGACAGAATTGCACAGCACATTCAGTGTTTACAGGTCAGTTTCTCATATGAGATAAATTGGTTTGACTTTGTAGTTTTTTTTTTAATCTGACTTAGTGCTTGTGGGATGCAGATGTCACAAATGTGGCAGATTAACGCTGTTCTGTTTTTTGTTGAGCAGGTGGTTAAGAGAGCTGTAGCGAGCCAGCCCGACATGCCGGAGGCAGCCGAGCGAGCCGAGAAGTTCCGTCAGAAGTACAGACACAAGCTTCAGACCCTCCGCCACCAGCCTTTGTAAGGATTGTTTTTGTTTTTGCATGCAAGGCCCATCTGTTTGACTACAGGTTGCTTTAAGTAGACTAGACCTCAAGTCTTTTCTTCAGCGTCTGCATTAGTTTCATGTCCTCATACCTGTTGTAACTGCCCATGAACTTTGTAAATGAAAAAGGGAGATCGTGATGGTGAAGGAATACTTTAACTTCCAAATGACCATTTGTGTATCAATTCCTCAAAAGAAAACCCCTCACATGCCTCCATGGTGAACAGAGAATCCAAAAAACTATAACAAAACTATATCAAAGCATCAGTTTACAAACTCTCACACAGCTTGTGCAGTATAATTCAAGTCTCATTTATCCAGTTGGATGCTCAGTACTTCCCATACAAACAGCGCTTTCTGACAGGGAGCTGCACTAAAAGTGAACCTTAACGATGATCTCTTCAAAGCCAGACTCCATTGAGAAAAACAGTATTTTTACCTTTGCTTAACACAGGAGTTGTTGGTCTACTGCTGCCTCGATCAGTTAGTTAGTTTGTGTTATTGTGTGACTTTTAGTGTTTTAAAGAGTTAGTTTAGGTTTAACGAAGTCAAAGAATAGCCCAAACAAACTATCAGGTGAGGCAGTGGTAGACCAGCAGCTCCCGTGTTCAGCGAGGTAAAATTGCTGTTTTTGTCAATGGAGTCTGGCTTTAAAGAGAGCACTGATAAGTTTCACAGAAAGGGCTGTCTGTTTGGGAAGTACTGAACATACAGCTGGATAAATGAGACTTTGATTATACGGCACGAGTTGTGTGAGAGTTTTCAAACAATTTTTTTATAATTGTTTTTTTACTGTTGGTTAAGAATTTTCTCTGTTTTTGGATTCTTCGTTCATTGTGGAGGCATGCGAGAAAAACTTCATGACTTTAATGTAACACGGGGTGAGAATTTGATGTACAAGTGGTCGTATGTGGGTTGAAGTATTCCTTTTGAATCTGTTTACTTCTGAGTTTTTAGGAGGTGGGTGTACTGAATAAGTATGTGTCAGTCAGTCTTATTAATCCTGTCAGACTGATGAACATGAATGAAACATGAAATTCGATGGAGGAAAAAAAAGCCAGACTTTCAGAAACCAGCTGCACATTTCAAAACAGAGTTTTCAAAAAGTCAGTTTGACAAAGTTAGTTTTTTTTTTTTTACAAGTAAAAATATCAGTGAAACCTCCCCAGGCCTCGATGTGTGTATGTTTTTCTCTTTGGCTAATGTAGAGTGCTTCTCTTCTCACCTAGTGCTTATGGATCCCTCACTGTCAGAAGTCTGTTAGACACAAGGGAACACTGTTTAAACGAGTTCAACTTTCCTGATCCCTACTCTAAGGTCTGACTGAAGTCTATCAACCTTTGTTGTTTTCTTGTGTGCTACACAGCTGCCTTGGCCCTCACTTATTTCTGTGTTTCATACTTATGTTTCATAATTTCCACAGACAGTTTGTCTCCACCCCTTAAGTTAAGCCTAGAATTCAGGCAATACGTTACTCTGAAAATCACATTTTCTCACGTCTCTGAATTCTTCTGATTACCAGTCTTTTATTCTGTTCAAAGTTGCTGCATCACCTCTCTGTTCTCTCATAGATCAAACAGAGGGAGAATGACATGGCTCTCAAGTACTACCAGAAGGCGGTGAAGTCCCTGGAGGAGTTGAGCTGGGAGGAGAGACAGTTCGCCCTGGTCAGGGGCGTCCTGGCTGGGAATGTCTTCGACTGGGGAGCCAAGGCTGTGTCAGAGTGAGTGGAGTTTATGGCTTTTATATCCTGCGAGCAGGCTGCTTGATTGGTTGCTGGCACAGCGTTGGTAGCGGTAGAGGCTCTTATCTTGCAGTTTCATGCTTCCACAGCTTTGAATGGGGAGTTTTTCCACCGCTGTGGTCGTGTATTTGGCAGCGTCTCATTGTTTTGATAAGTTAGCCACCCTGGGTTAGCCAGAGTGCACACAGTTGGCGGCATTGATTGAACATAAACAGAATGAAAAAATCTATGAAAGTATCTCAGGGCTGCTTACAGAACATCCCAGAAAAGAATCCCAATGACTTGTTATGATGTTTTTTAAGTTTCTGTTGCCCTGTGAGGCTTTGAATAAGTAAGTCTTTTCACGGGGACTCTGCAGAAAGGTCAACTATAGCCTGCTATTCGCTTCGGAACCACACGTCTGTTATAGAAATAAATTGATTAGGGCTGATTTGAGACAAGGGTTATTATCGTAAACTAAAACTGAAATATTTTCGGAAATTGAAACCAAATAAAAAGAGTAACAAATAGCCCAAATGACCAGCGAACAGAAGAGGAAGTATTGGCCTGGATATCCGCCGGCTACACCTGATTAACCTGACATATTGGCCCTCATGCTTAGAAGCTTTATCGTCACATGATAGCTGATGGGTTTAGATATTGCTGACAATCTTGCACAGCACACCTTTGAGAAAAACATAATTAATAGTGCCCGACTGAAAAGCTAATACAACAAAATAAATGCTCTAACTCTCTGTGACATTTAACCACAGAAATCAAACAGACTTGACATTCCAGGAGATGGCGGTATTCCGCAATCACTTCACAATTAATCCCTATTGTTTTTCACATGCAGTCGAGTCTTGTAGAGTTAAATGACAAGAACATGATTTAAATACTGTAGCAGATTTAAAGCCATTTAACCAAGCTGTTCAGCTCAGGTCTAATGTTAAACAAAAGTGGTCAGAATTAAACTACAGATGACAAGTTTTCCTCTGAGTGTGGTAGAGTGAGAGAGTACTCGAGTCAATTCCCAAATTATGAAACATTACGGCCATTCCTAAACAGTTCTTCAGCCATGTATTTTGTATTCACAGTACATGTAGCTACATAGTTATGAGACGTTATACCTGGCTCTAACAAAATCAAACCTTAAATAAAGCCACTGTAAAACTATGAAATTTAAACGGAACCTTTCTGAAAACCTAAAATTAAACTAAAACTATCAAACGTACAGTACAGGCCAAAAGTTTGGACACACCTTCTCATTCAATGCGTTTTCTTTATTTTCATGACTATTTACATTGTAGATTCTCACTGAAGGCATCAAAACTATGAATGAACACATGTGGAGTTATGTACTTAACAGAAAAAGGTGAAATAACTGAAAACATGTTTTATATTCTAGTTTCTTCAAAATAGCCACCCTTTGCTCTGATTACTGCTTTGCACACTCTTGGCATTCTCTCCATGAGCTTCAAGAGGTAGTCACCTGAAATGCTTTTCCAACAGTCTTGAAGGAGTTCCCAGAGGTGTTTAGCACTTGTTGGCCCCTTTGCCTTCACTCTGCGGTCCAGCTCACCCCAAACCATCTGGATTGGGTTCAGGTCCGGTGACTGTGGAGGCCAGGTCATCTGCCGCAGCACTCCATCACTCTCCTTCTTGGTCAAATAGCCCTTACACAGCCTGGAGGTGTGTTTGGGGTCATTGTCCTGTTGAAAAATAAATGATCGTCCAACTAAACGCAAACTGGATGGGATGGCATGTCGCTGCAGGATGCTGTGGTAGCCATGCTGGTTCAGTGTGCCTTCAATTTGAATAAATCCCCAACAGTGTCACCAGCAAAACACCCCCACACCATCACACCTCCTCCTCCATGCTTCACAGTGGGAACCAGGCATGTGGAATCCATCCGTTCACCTTTTCTGCGTCTCACAAAGACACGGCGGTTGGAACCAACGATCTCAAATTTGGACTCATCAGACCAAAGCACAGATTTCCACTGGTCTAATGTCCATTCCTTGTGTTTCTTGGCACAAACAAATTTCTTCTGCTTGTTGCCTCTCCTTAGCAGTGGTTTCCTAGCAGCTATTTGACCATGAAGGCCTGATTGGCGCAGTCTCCTCTTAACAGTTGTTCTAGAGATGGGTCTGCTGCTAGAACTCTGTGTGGCATTCATCTGGTCTCTGATCTGAGCTGCTGTTAACTTGCAATTTCTGAGGCTGGTGACTCGGATGAACTTATCCTCAGAAGCAGAGGTGACTCTTGGTCTTCCTTTCCTGGGTCGGTCCTCATGTGTGCCAGTTTCCTTGTAGCGCTTGATGGTTTTTGTGACTCCACTTGGGGACACATTTCAAGTTTTTGCAATTTTCCGGACTGACTGACCTTCATTTCTTAAAGTAATGATGGCCACTCGTTTTTCTTTAGTTAGCTGATTGGTTCTTGCCATAATATGAATTTTAACAGTTGTCCAATAGGGCTGTCGGCTGTGTATTAACCTGACTTCTGCACAACACAACTGATGGTCCCAACCCCATTGATAAAGCAAGAAATTCCACTAATTAACCCTGATAAGGCACACCTGTGAAGTGGAAACCATTTCAGGTGACTACCTCTTGAAGCTCATGGAGAGAATGCCAAGAGTGTGCAAAGCAGTAATCAGAGCAAAGGGTGGCTATTTTGAAGAAACTAGAATATAAAACATGTTTTCAGTTATTTCACCTTTTTTTGTTAAGTACATAACTCCACATGTGTTCATTCATAGTTTTGATGCCTTCAGTGAGAATCTACAATGTAAATAGTCATGAAAATAAAGAAAACGCATTGAATGAGAAGGTGTGTCCAAACTTTTGGCCTGTACTGTACTCTGAAAACTAACTAAAACTGAACTGGAATTTAATTAAAATGTCACAACTGAAATAAAAGTAAGAACTAATTGATGTTTTTACTCAGTGATCCAAACTCTTGTCTAACTGTTGCATATGTTATTTTACTGTCATGCAGTGTCCTTGAATCTGATCCTGAGTTTGGGTTTGAGCATGCTAAACGACAGCTGGAAGGTATCAAAGTATTTCTCTTCTCTCTGTCTTTGTTGTTGAACCATTTGAGTCAAGAGAAAACTGTCAAATTTGGGGACGTTGAGAATGACTCTGATCAGCACTTCCTGAAACTGATTTGTTTGATCTCTTTTTTTCTGCGCAGAGCGGCCGTGGCTTGTTGATTCCTACAACCAGTGGTTCGAGAGACTAAAGGTCAGGCTCTTCCTCTGCTTTTCATTTCAAAGCCAAGTTATTTATTGAATACGTTAACATGCACACTAATATTCCACCATTATTGCAAATATGACAACATTTTAAATTTGATGTGGTCTTGTAAGCAGCATATTCTGTTGGATATTCAAAACTAGGCCTTTTTCCTGAATGTAGCTTTTTCTTTGGACATGTATACAGCGCATTCGGTGTCTTAATTTTGGTTTTAACCCCAGTTTGTGATACACGGCCTCTTGCCTGTTCACAGTCAGCTCTGTGTGTTGTCATGGATGTGTTGTGCACAAATCAACTAGCCAACAGACATGTTAGGGCACATTAACCGGAGGATACACAGCTGCTTGTAAACGTGTAAACAGCTCAGTAGGAATATTGTCTTCTTCAGTATAAGGGTAGAATCAAAATATTTTCTGTAATAAAGGTTTAATCAGCACCACATGCTGTTTAACAGGGAAACAAACACATATCTGAGGCACCAGGCACAGCCATGTTTTGATTAAGCACAAAGAGAAAACACAGATAACAGCTTTTTGTGCTCATTTGTAATGTTTTCTGTATTTGTAATAGTGTTTCTGTGTCTGTGATGATTAGTGCTTGAATACACTCCATCCTGGTTTTCTCTTGCAGGGTCCTCCTCATAAGTGTGCCTTGTTTTTCGTAGATAATAGTGGAGTAGACATCATTCTAGGCGTGATGCCTTTTGTCAGAGAGCTTCTCTCTCGAGGAACAGAGGTACACAACTCTAACAACACTTGAAAAAAAAAAAAAAAACTATATTTGATAAAATGTTATTCCAGCTCTTCTGTTTGTCTCCCTCAGGTTGTGTTGGCCAGCAACTCTGGTCCGGCTTTGAATGATGTAACAAACGGTGAACTGCAGATATTGACCGAAAGCATTGCTGCTATGGATCCAGTGATTCAGTGAGTGTTTATGAGTGTTTTTAAAAACAGACGAGATTAATTAAGACCACAGCTAATGAGCTATCATCACACAGACGGCAGTACAGAGTCAACGGACTTTTACACAACATCTTATTATCTTTCCTGAGCTGCCTCTAAGATATAATTTTCTCTGTCTGATCTCATGATTTCACACGTAAAAAGCTTTTTAAAACAGCTGAAGAAGATCGTCAGTGACCTGTGGTGTGTTTGTTGTGCAGGGCTGGTCTGAGGGACGACAGGCTGACGCTGGTACAGAGTGGTTCCAGTTCACCCTGTCTGGATCTGAGGTTGGTTATTCGGCAGTTTTACATTTGACCTTTTTACAGGGTGAGCTACTCAGCCTTTGATTTAGCTAGAGACGGTGTTGTGTGTAAGTAGGGTAAAAGAGCACGTTCATGACATGATCATGTAATCGGTGAACTGTATGAAAAGACAAATCCATTTACAGCTAATGAATCGCTCACTCTTGCGACAGTTAAAGGGAAACTTTGCCAATTTGTAACGAGTTTTGTATCATAATAATGTGGGTAGTGTGTAACAGAAATCTCCCTGCTCAACATTCAGCTTAAAATGTGTCATCCGGCAAATTTTGGCTGCCTCTAGGGCTGTTCGAACTACAGGTTGTACTTGGGCGTATTCGTATGTCCACCACCATGGACACAAAGAGTATAGAGGCAGATTGAGACAGAGATACCCGTCTCTCCAAACCAAGACTCTGTTACTGCGTTGCCTATTTCTCACCAAAAATGTTTGCAGAAACATATTTAGTTTGACATTTAACTGTAATTCGAGATAGTTTGTTGCCAGCCCGTCACCATATCGTTTTCTGTGTCAAAACCGCTAAGCTGGCATTGCATCACCCACCTGCGGGAGCATTTATTGGTCCTGTGCGGCGCAGTGCATTCTTGTAGTTGTAGGTTTTTTACCTCGAGTGAAACCAAATGCCACAGCCCTTTTTCTCTGTTTTCTCTGGTCATGTAGCACCAATTTCAAAAGTTATGGCATCATTCTACTGCATAGACTTCCCAGTTATATTGAAAGACCATTAATGACACTCACTGTGTTTTAACGTACTCAGCATGTCGGTGTTGTGTCAAAGATGGTTTCCCCCTCACCTAAATCTGAACCACAACTTTTCCTTTACATATCCATGGAGGTGGGAAACACTATTCGACAGGGGGACAGGCTTTGACACATTTTTTAAGGACTTTTATGAATAAATCTGTAAGACACAGATTCTAACAGAGAAAAAAATCTCACATTTTTTGCTAATTTTACTCAGTGGGTCTGAAAAAACAAGTAGAAATGTCAGCCACATCTATAACAAATTTATAATGCATCCGACCAGTCGTATGAAATATATGAAAATAAATGATGATCACAATATTTTATTTCATTTAATAAAACAACAACAACAAAAACAGGAGAAGTTAAAATAAAGTAGCTGTTTTTCTGGAACTGTGAACTTTCCTGTAAACGTGAACTAGTTAATTTCAATCTGTGTGAACTGAACTGTGAGTGAGCTCTGAAGTGTGAACGTGCACAACACTGCTTAGAATTACACTCCCCCTCTTTCTGAGATGCATTTCATCACATCTGGGTGAGAGGGTTGAGTTTGTGCTTCCCCTTTTTCACTTTGAAAAGCCAGAAATCTGAGCACCAGGTGAGTTCATTAAATGTACTCTGTTACAGTCATTTAGTGCAGCAAACATGTTGAATTCTGTACCTCTGCCTTCCCCTAGCCGTCTGGACAAAGTGCTGGCGATGGTGGTCCGGGAGAGAAAGACCGACCTGGTGATCATCGAGGGAATGGGCCGAGCCATCCACACCAACTACTACGCCATGCTCAGTTGCGAGAGCCTCAAGATGGCCGTCATCAAGAACTCATGGCTGGCCGACCGGCTGGGAGGAAAGCTGTTCAGCGTAGTCTTTAAATACGAGGTACCGGCTACTTGCCATGACCCTAAAGCACTGACGCCCTCCTGAGTGCGACAGAGCTCGCATTTGAGCAGGACAGAACGCCCAAGTCGAGCAACCAGGAACGGATTAGCTCTGAATGTACGGATGATGGTCGTATACTGCCACTAAGTGAACGACTGATTGCAAAAAGCTGATTGTAAAATAGAGGCGAGTTTTAAAGGCGATGATTGGCAGGGAGGTTTTACATTTTATTTTGAAACATTGTTGATTTTAGTGCTGGTTCATCAACACGAATGCTTTTCTCGCAGGTCTCTGTTCAGTATCATGTACAATCACTTAGTTTGCTGCCATCGTTGCTGCCTGTTGATCTCATTCAGCATCCAGAGTGTGTTGAATGTGAAGTCATCACTGGCTGGTTAACTTTAACAGACTGTTATGACAGATGAGATCTTCAGCTTGTAGAGGAATCAATGACAAACATTGATTAATTAATTTTGCATCAGTCACTGACATGCTGCCAACATGCGACACTGCGCACCCATATGGGCGAATTCGTCGGCTGGCATGTGTGTTAGAGAGAGAGAAAGAGCCGCAGGAGTAATGTGAGCTTTCAGCGGTAACACTTTTTACATAAAGTGTTTTTAATGTGCCTTGAGGCCAACGTGATAAAAGCACCACTCACTCAGATTTGCTTTTAGTTCCTGTTGAAACACATCAGAAATATCTTTTGTTTCCCAGCTGTCTCACGCCATAGATCAGCAAGATTCTCTTTTCCATTACTGCCAGTAAATTAACTCAGATTAAGACATGAATCATTGTCACTTGTGTAGCTGTTAAGGCGGCATCAGGGAAATTGTTTGACCAGCGGGAGAGGCTGCAAAGAGATTAGGTTGTGTTCCTCCACAAGGTGGCAGTATTCTACTGTGACGTGTGCTTTTTAAATGAGCTCTCAAATCTTTACCAAGGTGCTTGGTGTCAAAATTAACACTGCATATTTCAGGTTAAACATTCTGTCTCCAATCAAAGCATCACATTTTATCACTGCAGCTGACCAGGGATTGACAGCAATTAACCGGCATGTTCAAGTACAAACTGTAATCATCCATCCCTGAAATAAAAAATAATAATGCACTTGTTTGAAGGCAATAATGCTGCAACACCTCGTTGTAACAAACATCAGACACTGTGTGATCGTGAAGTGGCTCACTTCATCGTAAATATCCGAATTCAAGGCAGGATCTGATTCTAATCTGCCTCGGCGTGAAAATGTCTCCCAGAAGTTACTTGACATGCGGACTCACATTTCAATATTGTATTTGTCATCTGTACATATATGTGATATTTGCATCACTTCAGCTAAGCACACCAAGCACAGGTTTTGTGTATTATTCTCCTGACAATCGATTTTAATTAAATGGTGAAAACCTTTTATTTTATTCCTTTTATCTGTGTGTGTGTGTGTGTGCATGTGTGTTCATTTCTCTGCATGTGTCGGGGGAGTTCGCAGTCGTGTAGAGGAACAGGCAGAGTTGAAAGTTGTCCCATATTAAAAAACCCAACGTGCCCCCGGCGGTATAAAAGCTCGACACCCTGGTATGTGCTGGTTGATGCCTGCTGGGGAGCTGTGGGCTGATAATGCATGAGGAGGCCTGGCAGGGGGTCCTCCTGCTTTCCCTTCCGCTCATCACTCTGACTGCCAACACTGACTCACACACACACACATACACACTAGTTCTGCAAGACGCCCTTGTGGATTTAGTGACATCTATGTATAACATATGTAAGGTTTGCTCTGGTTTGTTTTTCCGTGTTTCCTTTTTTACTGTATATAATATCCAGTGTGGGCAGGAATGTTTCCTTCATCATCAGTGCACTCATGAGACAAAGGACCCCAAAGACACACAAAACACTTGTTGTGTCTATGTCAGTGAAATTTTTCAGGTGAGACAGAACTCAGGGTAGCCATGGGTCTGGAAAGTACTTGAAGGTGCTTGGATTCAAAAGAGGTCCTTGAAAGTGCTTGGATTTAGCCAGCCACAATCTGTTTTGAGCATCTGATAGTTGTTTGACTCTGGAAACAAGTTCAATAATCAATTCAATTGTGCAGTGTTTTTGGCATATTTGTGTCTCTGTGTCAGGCAGGGCCCACAGCACGAGCACCCCTTCCTCCTGTCGAAAGTAATGGGAGTATTTTTCCCCCTCTAACGTTATAATAAAGACTGAGTTGAGGTAGTAAGACTTATTGTATGTAAGTCTAGTAGTTGGATTTGTCACATGATGTGCTTTTGCCAGCCCGTTCTCATTCTGTAGTCGTCATATCGCTGCTTTGTGATTTCAGTATCAGACACTGACACCAAAAGCAACTTTTCGTGGTGATATGATAGGCCACCGCTCAGCTGGATGGCACCTGTTGCAGCAGTACGTATGATACGCCACAGGACAGGGTCAGTTTGAAATGCTGCCGGTAATGATAAAGAGCTGGAAATTCCCCATAGGGTCAGTGGGAGGGGTGGTGGATGGGTCCAACAAACCCTGGACTTTTACCTGGAAGGCCTCTGTTTGCTTCCCGTTTGAATATAGAGTCAAACCATGATGGGTTTTTTTTTCTAAATCTAACCACCTGGACCTAGCACATAATATGTAGACACCAAAGTCCACAGATAAACTGACAATATGTGACGACTGGGATGAGAACATGTTGGCTCTTGCAATATGGATTAATGATGAGTGCATTTAATATCCAGTAAAACACACAGACAACTAAAATATTTATTTATTTATTTAAAGCCAAATTCAAAGGTTAAATACCAACTCAAACCAGACACACCACTTCACCTGGCATGTGTTGGCTGTGGGAGGAAACCGGAGCTCCTGGAGAAAACCCACGGCAGACATGGAGATAACAGAAGTGTGAACCCCTGAGCCTCCACGCTGCCCCAATGCCAGGTTCAAGCGACACATCATGTTTGTCTGTTCTGACGCTCTTTGCTCGCCTGATGCCAATAGCAGTACTCACCGGGTTGCTAAAGTGCCTCTGCTGTTTCACGCCATCACAGGCATCACAGACGTGGCATCAGTTACACTACACAAAATAATAGATGGATTAGCATGTACAACACTCAGTGTTATACACGATAATCCATCTATTATCACGATCCTAGCTGACTCTGTATGATGCTGCGTTGGGCTGTAATCTAGCTGATATCGTGTAGTGTGAACCTGGCATTAGTGCGAAGGTAAATCAACCTCAAAACATCTGGGAATGTGTCAGATAGATGTGTTTATGAATTTGTAGTCACTAAAATATAGTTCAAAGTTTTTCAGATATTGTCCACATCCATTCATATGAATGGAGGTTTCTGTGAAGTACTATAAAGTTCAGTTGATTCAAAACACACCTAAAACACACTATAAACATGGCTTAAAAGTACACACATCAGCTTCACTGTAACTTGCAGCATTCACAGACTAAGCAATTGTCTTTATCTGGACACATTCAGGCCAAATCTGCATTTTTGTCACCATTTAAGTTCATTTTTAGTAACTCTTATACTTTTCTTACTTTTGTTGTTACTTTGATAGGCACTGGTTTTTGCTTTTTGATCCTTAAACACTATATCTTGTATATTTTGAATATTTTGACAGACACTTAACACTCCATTGTTTTAAAAACTAGGCCCAGTGTGTGACTGTGACCGAATCAGACCACTGGTTGTTCTGGTCGTTACTGGATTGTGAACGTTAATTTTGGATAAATAAACTTCTGTTTAATTAAATTGAATTAATTTGTAACAGGGAGTGACTAATTTATTTACAAATATTCATTTTGTGGGTGAAGTATTCCTTTTAATTCGCAAAAGTTTCTGTATCAAGTGTGGAGTCTCTGCTGGTAACTTACTTCTTTAAATCCCAAAAACCAAAACTGATTTCTCCCACTTGAAATACATAAATTGTGATTTATTTATTTATTTATTTGTTTTTGACTCATTATCAATGAAGTAATATTACACAAGCAGGTGTGCTGTTAGGTGTGCGGTCAGGACCCAGGTGCTTGCACCAAGGTCTGTAAAGCCCCGTTTCCACCAAGCAGTACAATGCGGTACATTTCAGTTCAGTACGCTTTTTTTCTGTTTCCACTGTGAAAAGTTGTGGATGTTCCCAATGGAACAGTTCCGTACTGTCCCCATTTTTGGTCCCCCCTCTGTTGGGGTACCTAGCACACAGATCTGGTACTAAAAGGTGGAGCTGTGAACACAGCAGTCTGATTGGTCAATAGAGGACGGTCACTCTGCTCAGGGCTGAGTTGTGGCTGGTTTTCATACCGTGGAGAGTTTTATCAGTAGACTGTGACTATAGAATACCCGGTATCACTCTGAAGTCTTCAAAATCCAGTGCTTGGGCAGTGACTTGTGGCTAGAGAAACTTATGAAAAAAGGCGTCCTTAAACGTCATTATGATATGTGGCCAGTTGCTGTTATAGTTTAACGGCACCCAGTGGTGTCAGGTGGAAACATGGCGGGACAAGGACGAAAGTCAAGGCAGCGAAAGTCCAACTGGGGCAGGCGGAAGGGGTGGTGGATGGGTCCAACAAACACTGACTTTAACCCAAGAGAGCAGTGTTTGCGTCCTATAAGATTCTAAAGCCAAACCATGTTTTTTTCTCCTTAACCTGGTTTCTGTCAAGTGCTGTAAAGTTTAGTTGATTCAAAACACACATTAAACACACATTAAGTCCTAAAGTAATGTTGACATGAAGATCAGTTCTCGAAAAGTTCTTGAAATGTATCAAATACAAAAGAGCCGCAACCTTGAGAACTCTGAGATGCTGCATATGAACTTGAATATTTTGTTCAGATCCACACTGACACTGCACGCACACTTCCCTTTGAAGCACGGAGCGCATCACCAGGCACAAAGATACAGTTTCAACAAACCTGTCTCTGCAGCTGCAGTGGGACAGACCATTTATCACATGACTTTTCACTGTGTAACTTTCTATTTACAGGCAAATCTCTGATACCAACAGGCCCTGAGAAAACAGAGCAGCATTGACCGTAACTGTTTGCATAACACTAATTACTGTAGTTACAGTAAACAGTTATTACAAAGGACGTTTTTCTTTCTTGAGCTTTGAATTGAACACACTGTAACTGAGGCTTCTGTGGATTCTGAGTAACAATAACATCAATTTGATTGGTTATGAGACCCCAAACGTACAATGCAGTTCTTTGTGTATCACTACATGTGAATACAGTAAGTTCCTCTTGAAGCTCCTGGGTAATCTATAGTGCCTATCTCCTTCCAAATGTTATTTGTAAGTGATTTAGTCGACTTAATGTGTTAAAAGGATGGAGCTTACTGTACTGGGACGTTCAAACAATGTCAGGGATCAGAGTTAAAGAGCCTTCAATAAGACACATTCCTCTGGCTCCTACAGTAATATATACTGCATTGGTTCCCAGTGGTCTCTTTTGTTTGACATACCTGATATTATTTAACGTTTAAAATGGATTGGGTTACAGTTATACAGGAACAGCCATCCCGGAGTTGTTGGCCTCTTTTTTTATCAGTAGGTTTGATCAAGTTGCTGCATGTTCCAGCTATTTATCCTTCACTTTTATCTACTATTTCTGCTTCTCTGATGGCTTTCAGTACTTTTAATGCACTTCCAATCGAAGCAGGTGATGTTCAGGTGTTTATTTTCCTCCAAAACTTAAAGGGATACCTTAGTCCCAAATCCAACACATTTTTCCTCTTACCTGTAGTGCTGTTTATCAGTCTAGATTGTTTTGGTGTGTGTTGCAGAGTGTTGGAGATATTGGCCGTAGAGACGTCTGCCTTCTCTCCAGTATAATGGAACTATTTTACATTGCGGTGCTCAAAGCGCAGAAGAATACATTTGAAAAACTCAACAGCAATGTCTCTTTACAGTGATTCATGATCTGGTTACGAGATAATCCACAGACCTTGTTGTGAGTAGTTTCATATGGGAACTATTTTCTTTTTACAGAACAACACCAGCCAATGGAATCACTGAGCAGAAGGAAGTGTGCATCTACTCGTGGACGAGAGGCTTGTACTTGTAACAGCACGCAGCACGTTTCTACAAACCATGAATACATTACATTTGCACATTATTTTGCAGCAGATACATTGAACTTTACGTTTCAACAGTGCAGTGGTTTACGTGGGATTATGTCAAGGCATAAAAACCATTTGGTTATGGTTAGGATACGATCATGTTTGGGCTTGCAGTTCCTGGTTTTTGAGGGCACAACCCCAGCGGAAAAGCAGCAACTCTGTAAAAAAAAACAACTGCTTTTAATGCCACTATCACTGCTGGAAAATCAGCGATGGGTTGCTTCAAAACACCCACATTTGGTGCCTTAAAAGCCACTGGAAACCCAGCAGTGACTCGCTAAATCACAACTGCTTTTGTCAGTCT